ACCTGATTGAGCGTCTGCGGACGCTTAACCGCCGTACCCTCGACTCTCTGGCAGCTCGTGTCTACTTCTACTACTCTCTCTTTTATGAGCAGATTGCTCCCCTTCCCCCGTCTCCTGCTGCCACCGTGACTAAGATCCGCCAGCCCTTGCTCGCAGCCCTGAGGACAGCAGTGCTTCGCAAGGATGTGGACACCCAAGCTACCGTGATGACGCTACTCCTGCGCAACTACCTATCTACGTCTCACATTTCGCAGGCAGACCTTCTCATTTCGCACAACAAATTCCCCCCATCGGCATCCAACAACCAGATTGCCCGGTACCTTTACTACTTGGGTCGCATCCGGGCCATTCAGTTGCAGTACACCGATGCCCATGGTCACTTGATCGGTGCCACTCGCAAGTCGCCTTCTAGTCACAGTGCGCGCGGTTTCTACCAGGCTTCTCATAAATTGCTCGTTGTGGTGGAGCTCCTCATGGGTGACATTCCCGACCGGGCCATTTTCCGACAGCCCGCACTTGAGCGCGCCATGCACCCCTACTTCCTCCTTGTTCAAGCTGTGAGTGTGGGTGACTTGGACGGGTTCCTCAACATCGTCAACACCCACAGTGCGACATTCCGCAAGGACGGTACGTACACTCTGATCCTGCGTCTGCGGCAAAACGTGATCAAGACCGGCATTCGCATGATGTCTCTCTCCTACTCTCGCATTTCGCTCCGGGATATTTGTCTGCGTCTTGGACTGGACAGCGAGGAGTCTGCCGAGTACATTGTGGCAAAGGCCATCCGCGACGGTGTGATCGAGGCCAGCTTGGACCACGAGCATGGGTTCATGAAGAGCAAGGAAGTTGGAGATATCTATGCCACCAGGGAACCCGGGGAGGTGTTCCATGAGCGCATCAGAGCTTGCTTGAGTCTCCACGACGAGAGCGTCAAGGTGAGTTTCTACGAGAATCTACGTTCCTGCTCCACAGAGAGTACCCAGCTAACGAGTCTGCCAATAGGCCATGCGGTTCCCCATGAACCAACACCGCCTGGAATTGAAGAGCGCGCAGGAGGCACGGGAGCGTGAGCGGGAGTTGGCCAAGGAGATCCAGGAAGGAGACATGGACGACGAGGATGCCGGCGGCGATTTCGATGCAATCTAGTGGGTGTGAAGTTATAAGCATACAGCAGCTTTTCGTTTGTAATCCTGTTATATCCCGTCCCGTTAGGTGTTCAAGAACGGAGGGAAGCTTTTCAACAATGTGTTCTTATCTGCAGTGTCGTCGTTCGGGTGTGTATGAAGCAATGGGTAGGATTGAGCTTCGCCGGCGTGATCTCCCATGTCTCTTATGTGTCATTGGACCGACTCCTTTGTACTGTTGCACAGGTGGTTTCTGCTGTAGAGTGCTGTCCGGCCTGCCGAATTGTCTCTTGCGAGGCGGGGGAGAAGCGTGACCTTGGGTTTCTGTTGTAATTTCCCATCATAATAGATCCGAAAACCCTTGCAGCCATGAGCATGCGAACTGTATTGAACCAAATTATCTGTGATAGTGAGTATGTAATACTGAGTGAGTACTGTAGAATGCGGTGTGGTGGAAGACGACCTTGTGAAGATGCATAGAGCGAACTGGATGCGGCAGGGACGGGCCCAAAGCCCCGAGCCGGCCCGAGGCAACCTCCGTCTCGAAATCTTCGGCGGGTGTTAATTGCGCCTCATCCATCCATCCAGGCACTGGTGCGGCCCCGGACCTGGCCCGGCTTTCAATCATTTGCTTTCCCGGTATTATGATCCTAGCATTTTGTTTGACTCACTTCTAGCTCTACTTGCCTCCCACGTTCCCCAATCATGAAAGCACGCACGGTGCCGGCATCCGGGCTGGTGCTCTCGTCACGCGTCACGTCTTCCACGATAGTTTGCTGGCAATGCCTCCGAAACGAATTGGTTGCAAATCAATTCCAGCTTCAATCACGAAAGTATCACCCGACAAAACGTAAGGATGTGTCGCCGCTGGGTGCCGCCGTCTCTGCAGCTCAGACCATCTTCAAAGGCCTCCCCAAGGCACCTCCGGGCATTTCCGTCGACCCATTGCGGATGGTAGGAAAGGAACTCAAATTCTTGACGAAGAACCTCCGGCAGCTACTGGGATCCGGCCATCCTACACTGGATAAGGTGGCCAAATACTACACCCGCAGTGAGGGTAAACACATGCGGCCGCTTCTGGTGCTGCTGATGTCTCAGGCGACGGCGCTGTGTCCCCGGAAGACTGGCACGGACAACAATTCCGCAACAGTGAACGACCCGATCAGCTCGCCCTCAATCCTCGTCGATAACAATCCGGACCTGGATGCGCTCTCATCCGGTAGTGCAGATGCGCCGTACGACTTTGCCGGCGACAAGGACATCCTGCCCACCCAGCGGCGGCTTGCTGAAATCACCGAATTGATCCACACTGCGTCCCTCCTGCACGACGACGTCATCGACAATGCTGTGTCCCGCCGTTCTTTAACGTCTGCCAACCTCCAATTTGGAAACAAGATGGCCGTTTTGGCGGGAGACTTCATGCTGGGTCGGGCCTCCGTCGCTCTCGCGCGGCTGAGGGACCCGGAGGTCATTGAGTTGATGTCGACTGTCATCACCAACCTTGTTGAGGGCGAGTTCATGCAGTTGAAAAACACGGCTGCGGACGAGAAGAACCCCGTTTTCACGGACGACACCCTCTCGTATTACCTGCAGAAGACATACCTGAAGACGGGCAGTTTGATCAGCAAGTCCTGCCGGTCGACTGCCGTGCTGGGTCACAGCGCCCCTGAGGTCGTCGAAGCCTCCTACCAGTACGGACGCAACTTGGGACTGGCGTTCCAGCTTGTGGACGATATGCTGGACTATACCGTGACCGAGGCTGAGTTGGGCAAGCCAGCTGGCGCGGACCTGGAGCTGGGTCTTGCTACGGCCCCGCTGCTCTTTGCCTGGAAACAGTTCCCAGAGCTTGGCCCGTTGGTTGGCCGGAAGTTCAGCCAGCCCGGCGATGTTCAGAAGGTAATGCGATCCTAGTTGCAACAAATAAGTTTTGACACTAACATTGATTGATCACCAGGCTCGGGAGCTTGTTATCAAGGCCGACGGTGTTGAACAGACCCGTATCCTGGCCCAGGAGTATGCGGATAAGGCTGTCGCTGCGATTTCTGACTTCCCTGACAGCGACGCCAAGGCTGGATTGGCCCAGATGTGCGAGAAGACCATGAATCGGAGAAAGTGAGACGTTTGAGCTATGATCCATCAGCGTTGCTTTGGGATTGGCGTTCATTTTGAGTCTCTCCTTGTTGAAATTGGGCGCTACACAATGCCCCTGTACCACTACCTTTGTATTATCGCGAGTCTGCTGGTGTAGACCTTCTGTATTATTGATAGAGAGCCTAGACCCAAGGACTATTCATAACCCAATTTCATTTTCAGTTGCATTGGTAATGTCGTCTCTTTCGTTTGATAGTGATATTCAAAATTGTAAGAATGAGCTATGATGGACACAGCTCATGTAGATCAGCGAACGACTAACCAGGCTCACGTGGATGGATGCATTCGGGCTTCCTTTCGACGTCGCCAGAACCTACCGGGGAGTTTTCCCACTCACCCACCCCATGATCTATGCCGACGGACCAAGTAACTGGTCTCTCTGAATCTGAGGATCTGTCTGTCCTTTCTGCTTTCGATTGTATTGACGTCCTTCGTGTTGGAAGAAAATTAGCCACGTTTACTGGCCTCAATGCCACCCTTGCTGCCGCTAGGACTGACCTGTTATACACGTTCTAAGTGTCTTGCATAGCTGACAAGGTTGAACAGCCAGATGTTCCATATCCAAGCTACTCGTGGCAAGTTATGCTGCTTCAACGGTTCGTGCTCTTACCTTTTCACGTCGAGCAATTGGGGCATTACTGGGACCATCCGGACGCTATGATGATCTTCAACTAGAACTTTTCAAGCACAGCAGCTGCGAGATTGATATTGTGACGCTGATGCAGGCCGTTACTGTCCGACGCTCTCTCTAGTCGGGCAATAGCATGCTTGACTTACAAATATGTTTCTCAGGAAGCTACAAACACCCGCTCATCAACCACCTCTGGATACCTAAGTATAAAAAGCAGGATATATGCTATTGCACAAGAAGTGAAATACGCCGGAATCATCGCAGGAGTTGACTAAAGATTTAGGAGGCTGATTCGACGGCGAGGAAACGTCGGCATTGCGGTGAGCCCGCATGAACTACGTGCACAAGCCCAATTACTAGGAGAGAAGATTGCTGACGCGTCCAGCCTATAAGTCCCTTAGACAAAGCAGAAACCACACGGCTCATATGCATTTGGAGATGCCGTGAGCTTGAACGTCTCCTTTCGGATTTCCCAGTTTGTACTACGAGGAATATGGCAACTACGCTAAAGTTGATTAGCTCTCGCAACCTGCGCTGCATTACAGCTACATGAATCATTGTCTACTCTGCTCATACAAGATCGGCGTCGTGAAAACCACGTCATTGATGGAATACTGCAGACAGTCTTGTCAACTGACAATCTGGTGGAATCGAAATTGCCTAAAGCACCAGAGTTTGTTCGCACCGCACCAGCATAATGATAGCAGGCCAGGGAAGCCTTCCCGCCGTGTTGGCGCGCTGTCCGAACCCTAATTGTTTAGCGTCAACCAATGCAGGCGTTGGCGGCCCCGATCTAATGAGCTGACTTATGGAATAACTGCCATTCTGAACGCAGCTACCGAGCTTGCACAAAGGATTAAAGCACAGTATCTAATGGATTGAGCTTGCTTTGGCAGCTTTAACCATCTGTTTTCCTCAGTAACACAGCCCGAGTTGTGCTCTTGGATAATAAGCCTGGGTCGATTCGCCGAAAGCAATTCACTTTGCTGCTACCTCGCGTTTGCGTGTTCTTACGACATAGCGGGGTCATTTCTATTGTTCTCTCCCTCGGGACTGTGTGAGTCTAGTCGTCTGATATCAAGACACGTTCTTCAATGGCTGAAAAGGAAGCTGCAATAAACACTCATCCCAACGAAACTCCGGATCCTCAAAGTCCATCACCCGGAGATTTGACAGAGCAACCACCATCTGAACAAGACCCTAATCTGGTGAGGTAACTGAAAACACCAAGACGAAGCTTTGTACTTAACATCTAAGGTGACATGGAACGGTCCCGAGGACCCGGGCTATCCCAGGAATTGGCCGTCGGGCAAGAAATGGGCTACCATCATTCCCATGTCGCTGTTCACTCTTTTGACTTCCATGAGCTCGGCCATAATGGCCCCAGCCCTAAATAACATTCAGCAGGATCTCCACTTCTCGTCCAGTACGATGGGCGTTATATCCCTGTCTGTTTACTTGCTAGGAGTGGCAATCGTTCCCTTGTTTACGGCGCCTTTGTCAGAGGTATTTGGAAGGATGATAGTCCTTCAGGTTACTGATATGTTTTTCATTATCTTCAACACTCTATGTGGAGTTGCAAAAACCCCAAACCAGTTGATTGGCTTCCGTTTTTTAGCTGGTCTGGGCGGCGCAGGAGCTAACACGGTAAGTATCTATGTGTCACTTCAGTTCACCATGCCTCCAGTAACGGCCCTAGTACTGACCACCAAAGATGGGCGCTGGCCTCACCACAGACCTATTTGAGCCTGACAAGCGCGGTAGTGCTCTATCCCTCTATCTCCTCGCCCCTTCGATCGGCATGACCGTCAGCCCTATCGCTGGCGGCTTTCTCGTGCAATATACGACGTGGCCATGGTGCTTCTATCTTGTATCCCTCGTGGCTGGCGCGGTGCAGATTTTGGGCCTGCCCTTCTTTCGCGAGACTTATGCTCCAGTTCTGCTGCAGAGACGGTGCAAGCGTCTACAGAATACCACCGGGAACCTAAATCTGTACACGCACCACGACAGCGTCTCCCTGCCCCATCTGCTCCGGCTTAGCCTCGTCCGACCAATAAAGTTGCTTGCCACACAACCGGTGGTGCAAGTCTGGAGTGTGTATTGTGCATACATCTACGCGATTCTATACCTGCTCATTTCGAGCTTCCCCAATGTGTGGACAGGCATATACGGAGAATCCGTGTCTATCGGCTCCCTCAACTATATCTCCTTATTCCTGGGTATGGCCTTTGCTTCGCAGGTTGGAATGCGCCTTGCCAATCGGTCCTACAGGAAGCTGTGCAGTCAGCATAGTGGACGCGGCCTGCCCGAGTTTCGCCTGCCAGCCCTGATGATCGGTGCGGTGATTATCCCAATCGGCCTTCTCTGGTACGGGATGGAGTGCGCGACCAAATGTCCACTGGATCATGCCGTATGGAAAACCCTTCCAGATCCAGTATAACAATCGATGCACTGACAGCCACAGGAATATCGGCGCAGCCATTTACGGCGCCGGTGTGCTACATGAGATCCAATGTATAGTTGGGTACATCATGGATACATACCCCAAGTATGCCGCCAGTGCGGTAGCGGCGGTGATGTGCATCCGGAGTCTGCTTTCCTTTGCGTTGCCACTAGCCGCGCCGCGGTTGTGAGTGTTGTCGAGACATCTTGAAAGCCTGTTGCATGCTAATTAAGCTAGGTATGGGAATCTCGGCCTCGGATTGGGGAATACACTCCTGGCTTTGATCGCGGTTGTGGTGGGCATTCCGGCGCCGATTTTGTTGAAACGATACGGAGTGGCACTGCGGCGACGGAGTCCATATGCGCGGGATGATTAGCTTCTTGAAGATGGTGGAGTGGACTGCAGGTTAGTGAGTGCTATCGATCTCAATTTACGTTCTTGGTAATTCGCATTTGATAACATGAGATATTTTTATAGTGAGTGTACTAGCGCCTGGTTATACTACAATCCCACAGAAACAGAAACATCTATTCAACGTCACTCATGCTGCCATCTGAACAAGAACCAAGGTATCACCCCATAACCCTATCCAACAACCTCCCCAACTCCTCTGCCACGAACGCCGGATTCCCCAATTGCACCACATGCCCAGCACCCTCAGCAACAAGTGGGCCCCTTCCCCTTCCCTCATCCGTAATCCCCAACAATCCCTGGTGGTACTTCTCCCAAAACGGCGTGACATATACTTCAAACACCCTCCCAGACACCTTCCCGCCGGTCATCCTCACACTTTCCTCCGCAAAAGCCTTCCCATTATGTCCAATGACCGTGACCCAAGGCCCCCTTTCATCATCAGGCCCCACCAATCTCGGCCCATCACTCTCAGGCAACAACTCGGCCAGATTCCTCCTCGATAGACCCTCCTTACTCCCCACAGAGGGATGAAAGACTTTCCCTGCGATAGCCCGCGCCACAATCAGATCTTGAGCAGAGATGCCATCTTCCTCCTGCGGCGGAATAAAGTCCGGCGCAGTAGGATCCGGAAATACGGACACGAAATCCGAGTTGGCCAGGATACTGTCGAGCAAGAGAAGGGCGGACACAGTGCCCGGGTATGTTTGGGCGTAGAGTCTGGCGAGAGCGCAGCCGAGGGAATTGCCTACTAGGATTAGATTTCGATCTGGGGCGGATGTTGATGTGTGCAGGTGGAGTTTGGCTATCTGCTGGATCAGTTGGTGGAGGTCGTCCAGGGCGGAGAGGATGTCGTGCCCGTGGCTTGGGTCAGGGGCGTTCTGGTCGGCCGGGTCCCGGGAGGGAGTTTGGCCTTGGCCGTAGCGATCGTAGGTGAGGATGGCGGGGAGGTTATGGGGGTGGGTGGATTGCAGGTGGTGGATGACGGGACCCCAGGAGGTTTGCGGGGCTGCGAGGCCGTTGAGGAAGACGAGGAGGATCTTGTTGTTAGATGATTGGGTGGACGGGGGGTGGAAGGTGTAGCTTAGTTGAGCGGTGGGCTTGGTGGGGAGGGTGATGAGGTTGGTTTTTGTGGTTGTTGTCATTGTGTCTTGGTGACGGTTTTGTGGCGGATAGGCGATGGGCTGTATATGGGGAAATGTATGATGGAGAAATTCGATAGAAGAGAGAGGGATATAGAGTGATTGAAGTTCAGGGCAGAGAATTCTCGAGGGATGGAGTAGATGAGAGGAAAAGGGAGAGAGGAATTGGGGTTTTATATACGTGGGTGATGCTGACCAGCTACTACTACTACTACTATACAAATCTGTTTTCTATACTAATTGGGATGAAGGATGGCGCAGCCTGAGGCAGGGCCCGCCCGAAACGAGTGGACCAATCAAAGTGCTTGTACGCCGGAAGTATGACAGCCCTAAGGCTGAGTTATTGGACAGCGTCAGATCAACTGATTAGCAAATTGCTGGATCTCGTATTTATTTTTTCGGGGTATTTCATAGATATGTTGAATATACTCACTCATACGGATATTACTAGCTATCCATACATCGATGCTTGAGGTATTTAGAGACTGATCGGAAGTACTAGTGTTGGTAAGGATTGGCCTAGGTAACATTTCCCAACCCGCTGTTACATTGGCATGTGCTAGTTACCTGACGGTAATGATACTTTGTAAAAGTCTTCTGCCTTTCTTGACTGTCGTCCCCTCGCTGATACCCATCTTGCAAAGAACATTCGGGTTTAGCCATCAATTAGTTGATCTAGGATGTCCCTGATGACGCGACAAGCTCGTGTGCAGACGAAGCCAGGATTAAGGTTCCGTGGAAACCAGAGTTGCGTCCCCTAATACCTAATGGTTACGACTATGCTGGGAAAACAAACAAACAAAAGTCAAAAAGTCACGATATCTGCATGTGATTCAACCTGTACTTGCTTTTCCTCCCATCTTGCATCAAGCAAGTCAATCGTCAATACTTAATCTCCGCGATGAACTGGCAACTTCTTTCACGATACTAAGTAGTTTAACGAGTGCCGATAAGCTAAACGATCTGCAGGCCTCGGGCGGATCACGGGACCATCAGGTGGTGAGGAACGCGGGGCAACGTTCTTCCCGGACCCACGGCATTCCGTCATGATCGATGGAAGTAAGTAGTTCCCAAGTACTCCGCTGGTCACTAAACAGGTGTGCTGCCTACCAGCTAGTGACCTCTTAGTGACTGGTGAAGAACACCCGGAAACCGCGGAGTTCCAAGGACTTGTCTGCTGCCCCAACTAGGAAAGGTGCTACTGTCACTCTGCAACAATCCACCTCCAACTTACAACATCATCTTAAAGTTGGTTCCTTTCTTCATCTCCCTCCTTCCCCCCTTGCCCTCCCTCCCTAATTTATCTCCTTCACCCATACACTCCAGGTATACTACACTTGTCCTTTAACTTCCCTTGTCCCCCACCCCTCTCCCTTTATACATTCGAGCTGGTCCTCATCTATCTTCCCTGCTCCAGATTCGACACTTTTCGCTGCCTGCCGCCCGCTCGCCTGCCACTTGGTCTTTCGTTTTACCTCATGATGATGGAGGTGCTGTTAACGCTGGCCATTTGAACGTCCGGCTCCCCACCCCAATGGGTTCCTACGCCAGCTTTCTCTTCATATACGTCCTCGGCGGACTTACCTTCCTCCCGCTAGTCCTGTCGCTGGTCTATCTCTTCGTCTATCTGACCCTCCCGACTGCCGCTCCCTCCCCGCCGCTCACCTCCGATCAGAAATCATGCCAACCCCAATCCTCCTCCACATCCCTGCGCCGTCCGACCGATGATCATTACAGTCTTAAATCTGGAACCGATGAGTTGGCCGAGAAGTTTCATCGTACCCATGACTCCGATGTCGCCGCTGGTTATTTTGCCGTTTGTCGGGAATATGTCCCCGGCGGTGTTAATGGGCGGCCGCCCGAGAGGACGACCCCGGCTGGTGAGGTGATCGCCGCGGAGAGCACGAGCGTTTATCAGGCGATGTATAGGAGTTTGTTCGATCGGAAACAGGCGCCGACGATCGAGCCGGCTAAAAATAACCCCAAGAATGGGAAGCGGGCGCGTAATGTCTTTTATATTGTTCTTCGGTATTTTCGACCCTTCCTCGCCTCCGCTTGAGTCCTTTCTATTCTGTGCTGCGGTAGAAACCAAGACTGATGCTAACATTCGACGCAAACTAGACATGGCCATTTGATGCTCTACGATAATGCGAACCAGGTGGAAGTCCGCTATGTTATTTCGCTTGCCCACCACGATGTCAGCATACATGGTGGGGAGGGTCCGATCCCTGAAGGGGAACTGTGGCTAAAGAGAAACGCCATCTGCCTCTCGCGACGACTGGAGTCGCTGGGTGACCTTGGAGGACCTACGCCGCCTTTCTTTCTCTTCTCCGAGAACCTATCCGAAAAGGAGGACTTTTATTTCGCCATGCTCCAGAATCAGGCCCGTATGTGGAACTCTCCAGATGCTCCTCCCAAGCATCAGGCGTTCGATGTCAAACACATTGTCACCCTGGTTCAGCGCTTGCATTCATCCGAGGAGCAACTGCAAACGCGATGGATCAACGCGGTGCTGGGCAGGTTGTTCCTGGCCATGTACAAGACACCGGAAATGGAAGAGTTCATTCGGAAGAAGGTCACCAAGAAGATCTCTCGCGTCAACAAGCCCAACTTCATCAGCAAGATCGGTCTCCAAAAGATTGACATGGGGGAGGGTGCACCCTTTATCATCAACCCTAGGCTCAAGGACCTGACGGTCGACGGCAACTGTTGCGTAGAGACGGATGTTCAGTATACGGGCAACTTCCGCCTGGAGATTTCGGCAACTGTGCGCATTGACTTGGGTCAGCGCTTCAAGGCCAGGGAAGTCGACATTGTACTGGCGGTTGTGCTGAAGAAGCTGGAGGGTCATTTGCTGATCCGCTTCAAGCCTCCTCCGAGTAACAGAATCTGGATATCCTTTGAATCCATGCCCGACATGGATATGGACATCGAACCAATCGTTAGCTCCAAGCAGATCACTTACGGCATAATCCTGCGTACCATTGAGAGTCGCATCCGGGAAACTGTTGCTGAGAGCCTGGTTCAGCCGTTTTGGGACGACATCCCCTTCATGGACACTGAATCACAGCGATTCCGCGGTGGTATCTGGGAGCGAGAGATACCCAAACCTGATATGAAAGCAGATATTCCCGATGAATCCGGCGCTCAGATTCAGCCTCCAGGCAGCACCAAAGAGGAGTCGATTGAAGTACTGAAGATGAAGGATGATCGCACCATGAGCGCCCCTGCGCTTGCCGAATCAGGCAATGGCACCTTAAAGGCCCGCAAGAATTCCAAGGCCTCTATAGGGGATTTAGAGAACATCAGCCCTAGCGCTCTATCTTCTGCGGTTGACAAGTTCGGCACTTCGCCCCCGCGAGTAATTCGGTCTCAGACCTTCTCTAATGCCGCCGATCCCGTTCTGACAGCTGACCACGGGAAGATGGATCGGGTTCTGTCCGAAACTACGAGTGAAGAGAAGAGCAATGCCACCAGTGCTATGATCGAAATATCTACCCGGTCAGCTCCTGGTTCGCCAGAGAAGACCCCTGCAAGCTCTCCGCCGGTTGCTAGTCATATGGTTCCGGATAGTGCAACCCAGAGTCGAGATCCGTCCATCGTCGAATCATCCGGGAGCTTTGATGAGTCTGCGAGTGAGTTGCCTACCCGGCCGCCCTCTATTCACCGTGGAAGTGATTCGTCGAACAACCTCCGGGGTATTGAGAGTGGTTCTACTGCGTCTCTGGCGAGCAACAAGTCGCGACGACGCAGCACACTCGAAACACTGACTCGGTCAATCACCTCTGCCACCCCCACAGAGAGTAAATCGCCTGGCCCGTTGAATACGGCCACCTCCGTGGCTAAGAAGTGGGGATGGAACATGTTTGGCAGAGGCGAGTCTAGCTCCGCTCACGATATGTCTCGTCCTGCAGGCACCCCGGAGCAGCCGATAGGGCGCGGACACCCACTTCCACCCCCGGGGACTCCACTGCCGCGTCCTGACAAGGTGGGCTATAAGAGGAATACCGTAGCGGTTCCCAAGCGGAAACCGGTGGCGATGTCGAATGTTCCCGAGCAGAAGTCGGACAGGGAGAACAAGAGGCCTGTTCCCAAGCCACCTCTACCTAGACGGAAACCACTCTACCAACCCCAGGCGGAAGGGGCTAGGTCAGATGAGTTACTTGTGGTCGAGGCTCCATACGATTCGGGGCCGAACAGCCCTGTGGTGGACCTAACTCCTGAGGGAGCATTGACAACCGAGTCGAGCACCAAAGGCTACACCTCGTCAACGAAACTAGGAGAGTCGGCTGCCACTCGCAGTAGTGAGGATGGTGAAGGTGAGCACGAGCCGGTTGAGCCAGGACCTACTGCTCCAGATTCAAAGCCCAGACTTGACACGGAGAAACATGGCATGGAAATCCTCTCCGCCACGGACGGGATTATTCCGTGAGGAAGAACACATTAGTGGCATACAAGCAGAAGGATACGGGGATCATAATAACGGAGTGATGTCGCATTTACCCTTGGCAATGCATAACGGGAAGCTCTGCAGTGCAGAGCGGTCTCTACAGGAACGGGCGTTTTCATATGGACAGGGAAGCGTTGAACCGAGCCGGTGCCGTGGTTGCTGGATGATGGTTCCTTTCCTTGGCTTCTCACCCATGGTATACCCTCTCAGCTGGTTCTTGAGCGTGCTTGACAGTGTCTGGCGTCGATTGCGATCTGGTGTCAAACTCCCCATTCTAGTCGTATATTTTAGTTGGTTTTGATTGCTTCATAGATGGAAGGTTCTTTAGTAATTCAGAGCAGAACAATTCCTCATTAATGTCTATCTGTTTGTAGGCAGTAGCCGTCTATATACTTAGTGTAGCCTGTTGGTGGCCAAATTGGGCAGGGTTGACTGATTGGGCGACAAAATCGCTGCCTAGGAGAGTTCCGGTGGATAGCGAACCCTTTCTTAGTATTTGGAGTAGATCCAGGAGGTGACGAGTCCCTGTGAGGAACGGGCGGCGGTGCCAAGAACCGGCCGCGGTGGCAGTTTCCCTTCCGGACGTCATCTCGCCTTTGCTTGTCTCTTGCCTGTTGCTATTTCAGTCCACCTGCCTTTTTATTCCCCTCACTCACTCCCTCTCTACTAAGTTCTTCCTCTCTCTTTTTTCCTGTTGTGACGGACCCTGCTGGACGATCGCGTGGGTGGCCATTGCTCTTCTCAATCCTTGCCCTGTCCACTTATTCCCATCTCTCCCTCTTTCCCCCCTCTCCTTTCTTGAGGATAGCGCATTCCCCGTGCAACTAACTGGCTGATTGCGCTGTCCGCATTACGGGCCCACCGGCTCCCGCCGCATCTCTCCGTCTTCTGTTCCCCTGATCTAAACCCATCCAGAGCTTCGCAACCATCACCATGAGTCGGTACGTGATAATTTTCGAGGCTGTCCGTGCGCTTGTTGTGCTCTATGATGGAATTGCTGACATGATCCATTGAAAACCAGCACGGAGACTGATTTGGCGATTAACATTCGCAAAGCCACGAGCATCGGTAAGTCACAGCTGCAGTGCTCCCCTGATGCTTACTAGTGGACTGATCATATTACAATCACAGAGGAAACCGCCCCGAAACGTACGAATTCTCCCCTCCCCTCCCAAGCTTTGTGTCATATCGACGGAGCTCTTCTCCGGCCACACCAACAGAACCAACACTAATCCACGCCCAGGGAAACATGTTCGGAGCTGCATCGTGTACACATGGGATCATAAATCATCCAGCGCCTTCTGGGCTGGCATGAAAGTGTATGTCTGCCCGCTTTGTGTCTGTATGTCAGTTCCATGCATCAGCTGACTTTATCGTTCTCCCATTTAGTCAACCTGTCCTTGCCGACGAAGTCCAGACGTTCAAGGCGCTCATCACGATACATAAGGTGCTACAAGAAGGTCACCCGATCGTGGTCCGTGAAGCACAGCAGCATGTCAATTGGGTCGATAGTCTGATGCGCGGTGTCGGTGGAGATGGTATCCGAGGTCCGTACATTTTCCTATCAGGAGGAAGATGGAATATAGCTGACGTGGAGCTGGAATAATAGGATACGGCCCCCTCATTCGCGAATACGTCTTCTATCTCGAGTCGAAGCTGGCGTTTCACCGCAACCATCCCGAATTCAACGGTTAGGACACCAATACGACGCCCCACCCCCCTCGCATGGGTACTGATCGATTTAGGCCTGTTCGAATATGAAGAGTATATCAGTTTGAAGACAACCAATGACCCCAATGAAGGGTATGTCGAATGTGCAACCGATGCCCATGTGCCCAGCTGACGATTGTCTAGGTATGAGGCAATTACCGATCTCATGACACTGCAAGATCAGATCGATGCTTTCCAGAAGTTGATCTTCTCTCATTTCCAATCCGGCACCAACAATGAATGTCGCATCTCTGCGCTGGTCCCTCTGGTGCAGGAGAGCTACGGCATCTACAAGTTCATCACCAGCATGTTGCGGGCTATGCACACAAGTACGTTTGTTCTTCTTTCCGATGATCTAATGGAAACTAATGTGGACTGGCTTAGCAACTGGCGATACGGAAGCACTTGAACCTCTCCGCGGCCGTTATGACGCACAGCACTACCGCCTCGTCCGTTTCTACTACGAATGTTCGAACCTGCGGTATCTCACTAGTCTGATCACCGTCCCCAAGCTGCCACAGGACCCGCCCAACTTGCTGTCGGAAGACGACGAACGTCCAGCTCTGCCGAAGCGACCGGTCAAGGAACCCGAGCCCCAGCCGTCTCCGCCGCCGCCCAAGATGACTGCAGCAGAGCCGGAGCCCATCAGCGATTTCTGGACCACCGAAGCCAAGCGTCAGCAAGAAGAATATGAAGCCGAGCAACGCCGCTTGCAGCAGCAATGGGAGGATCAGCAGCGGCAACAACTTCTCGCGCAGCAGCAGGCTCAGCGCGACTTCGAGGAACAACAGCGCCTCCAGGCCGAGCAGCAGCGCCTCGCTCAGGAACAGCTTTTGCGCGATCAGTACCAGACACAGACCCAAGGCCGTTTGGCCGAGCTTGAGCAGGAGAATTTGAATGCCCGCGCCCAGTACGAGCGTGACCAGCTGATGCTGCAACAGTATGACCGTCGAGTCAAGGACCTGGAGGAACAAATGAACCACTTGAACTCCAACCTCAACATGCAGAATGCTTCGAAGGACGAGCAGATCCGGGCGTTGCAGGAGCAGGTTAACACGTGGCGGTCCAAGTATGAAGCCTTGGCTAAGCTTTACTCTCAACTCCGCCAGGAGCACCTCGACCTGTTGCAGACGACGAAGAGTCTTAAGCTGAAGGCAGCATCGGCACAGGAGGCTATTGAGCGCCGTGAGAAGCTTGAGCGTGAGCTCAAGACCAAGAACCTTGAGCTGGCCGACATGATTCGCGAGCGAGACCGCGCACTGCATGACAGAGACCGTCTGACCGGCAACAACAAAGAAGAGCTGGAGAAGGTCAAGCGGGAACTTCGCTTCGCCCTCGAGCGAGCTGAGAATGCGGAACGTTCCAAGGGCACGGAGATCTCGACACTGTTGTCGAAATACAACAGAGAAATGGCGGACTTGGAGGAGGCTCTCCGGGTAAGTTTGCCCTGCCCGGGTTTCCTGATTGTAGTTTCTAACTCTGGACACAGAACAAGTCTCGCGCCCTGGAGGAAGTCTCCAACAAGACCTCGGAGCGCGCAGGCGACCACGACCTTGCCCTACGCGAAAAGGACGAGGAGATCGAAGTGTACAAGTCGGGAATGGAGCAGGCTTTGATGGAACTGGAGGAGCTGAAATTGGTATGTGGTCACCACAAAACACATGATGGTATGTCGAGCTAACAGGTTGACGCAAACAGAGTCAAGGTGATGTCGACAACGCGCTGGACTCGCAGATTGACACCGTTCTGCACGGCACCGTCTCTAAGATCAACGATATCATCGATTCGGTTCTCCAGACGGGTGTCCAGCGTGTGGATGATGCTCTGTATGAGCTGGACTCCTCCATGCAGGCTGGTAACCAGAACGCCTCTCCGCCGTATGTGCTTTCGCAGATTGAGAAAGCTTCGGCCTCGGCTACCGAGTTTTCTACGGCCTTCAACAACTTCATTGCGGACGGGCCCAACAGCACGCATGCGGAAATTATCCGGACTGTATCCATCTTCTCTGGCTCCGTGGCCGACGTGCTGAGCAACACCAAGGGATTAACGCGATTCGCCAACGACGACAAGAGTGCGGATCAGCTGGTCAACGCAGCCCGCAAATCCGCCCAGGCGACCGTGCGGTTCTTCCGAGGCTTGCAGTCTTTCCGTCTCGAGGGACTAGAGGCGCTGCAAAAGACCGATGTCGTGATCAACAACAACCTCGAAGTGCAGAGGGACTTGCAGACTCTCTCGAAGCTGGTTGATGCGTTTGCGCCGAAGAGTGCCAAGATTGCCACCAATGGCGATTTGGGCGACTTGGTTGACCAAGAACTCACCAGGGCGGCGGATGCTATTGATGCTGCAGCCCAGCGACTGGCCAAGCTCAAGAACAAGCCTCGGGATGGCTTCAGCACCTATGAGCTCCGGATCAACGATGTCATCCTGGCGGCTGCTATTGCAGTGACTAACGCCATCGCCGAACTCATTAAGGCGGCCACTGCGTCGCAGCAAGAGATTGTCCGGGAGGGCCGCGGTAGCTCTTCGCGGACGGCTTTCTACAAGAAGAACAACCGCTGGACTGAGGGTCTGATTTCGGCCGCCAAGGCGGTCGCCAGCTCGACCAACACCTTGATTGAGACCGCCGATGGTGTCATTTCGGGTCGCAACTCCCCTGAGCAATTGATCGTCGCTAGTAACGATGTGGCAGCCAGTACGGCGCAGCTGGTGGCAGCCAGTCGTGTCAAGGCCACTTTCATGAGCAAGTCGCAGGATCGCCTTGAGACAGCTAGCAAGGCTGTTGGTGCGGCCTGCCGAGCTCTGGTGCGCCAGGTGCAGGATATCATCAAAGAGAAGAACCAGGATGATTCCGAAGCGGTGGATTACACGAAGCTCAGCTCCCACGAGTTTAAGGTGCGGGAGATGGAGCAGCAGGTACGTCGATATTTAATCTTCTCGTTAACGGGTTTATGCTAATGGCTTTCCCCTTCAGGTCGAGATCCTCCAACTGGAGAACAGCCTCTCTCGGGCTCGTCAACGCCTGGGAGAGATGCGGAAGATTTCTTACCAGGAGGACTAAGTGGCTGCCAGCATGTTTTTGCCATGGTTTTAGCGGGTGGAAGCAGACTGGGATGTCCAGGTCTCCTGGCTTTGCTGCAGTTCTATTCGGTTTGTGTTTTCTGTGACATTGCTTGTTTGTTGGATATACCAAGAGTAGCAGCCATGCGTGTGTTTGGGCGATTATGCTCCGAGCTATCGTTGTACTGTATATAACCAGATCGCAAGGACGTCCTCAGTAATCTGTATTCTCAGCATTTAATTCTTTACAGCGTAATTTGCCCAGACTCGTTACTCAGTGGAATCCACCCATATCATAAGATCATTTTATTCATACTCCCATACTTAGTAAAACCTAAAGACAACGCAACACACCCTGATGAACAAACCCGACACCCACAAAAACAACTAATAATCTCCCAAAACTCAATATCAAAACCAAGCATACCACTTTCTCCTCAGCCCCCCAATTCCACAACTCGACCTCCCAGACGACCCCTTCCCCTCTCCCAAACCAACCCCCCTCGCCCTCTTCCACTCCCAAAAGGCCCTCCCCGTCTCATCCACCAACTCCATCCCACCACCCAGTACCCCCTCCTGTCGCGACGACATTACTTTCCACCACCCATCAGTATCCCGCGTTATTCCCGCCCCGCTGAGAACCCAGTCCCGCGCTTGCTGGGCGATGCCGTTCTCGAGCTGGAATGCGCGTAGGGTGGAGAGGGCGGAATGGATTTTCTGGGTAGTTATGGCAGAGCGCAGGGTTGCGTGCAGGGCTAGGAGGGAGGGGAGGTGGGATTGGTATGAGTGTTGGTGTTGGTGTTGGTTGTAGAGGCTGAGGAGGGTGCTGAGGGTGAGGGCGTCTTCGATGACTGTGGCTGTTTCTTGGGCTTGGTGGGGTGGAATTGGGATGTTTTGGGTGGGGAGGTGGGTGAGGAGGGATTGTGGAGGGGGTTGGGTTGGTGCTTGGTTGTGGTAGGAGAGTGTGGTGGGTTTTAGGGTGGAGTTGAGGGAGAGGATGGTCTGGAGGCTATATGTTGTTAGTTATGCTATGTTTTGGAGAGAACTGAGGAGGAGAGTTGACGAACCGGTTGTCCCAGCCTGTGCAGATTTCCTGGGCGGTTGGGATGGTTGTGGATTTGCTGTCAGTGTTGGTATGGTATATGTTCAGGATGTATGTTTGGCCGTGTCGAACGGGGTAGAATATGGCGTGCTGGTTTGGTCCTAGCCAGGCTGTGGTGCTGTGTCTTCCTTGCCAGAGTTCGTCGATTTTAGGGTTGTTGAGGGCTTCGAGGTGTTTTCGTGAGATGGTCGTTTGGTAGATGGTTTCTGTTTCTGTCGCTGTGCTTGGTGAGGATGTTTCTTGAGATAGGGATTTGCTGGCTATGTTGCCTGGTATCGTGAGTTAGAGGTGGAGTGTGTATTGCAATTAATAGTATAATTACCATCTGCTTTGATCACCACGTCGCCTTGTAGACTCTCTCCATCCTCTAAGATTACCTCTGCAGTCTCGCTGTATACTTCTCGCACTGTGGCAGGCCGGATCTCAGTACCCAGTTTCCGTGCCCTGTCGCGTAGGATCTGGCGCAAATCTTCTCGATGAATCGTTCTTCATACAGTCAGCACAATTCCAGTTCATGAGCGTTCGACCAGCAGAAATAGCTTACATCCATGGCCCTCCATATATGCGACACGTATCCTCCCCGCATGGCATTGATCGAATCACTCCTCCATCAGAATATCGCCGGAAATCGATCGTCTGGACGATATCACCTTTCTCGAGCACTGCATCGAGCAAACCTAATCGGCGGAGAAGATAAGTCCCGTTAGGCGGAATCTGGATGCCCGGGGGAGTCTAAAGTAAGAATATCCGGGTAAGCAGGGTCTATCTTTGATGATTGGTGGTCGGACGCAGTTCAAGATGGGAGTTTCGTGGTACCTCAGTATCCTGACCAGACTCGAGCACGATCACGTCCAGATTGTCTCGCCGACAAGTAATTGCGCACACGAAAGCCGAAACATCCCCTCCTATGATAATGACTCTCATGGTGTCCCTTTCTGTTTTCCTGGCAGATAACTACAGAAAGCAGCAGGTGGGCTGCGGAATACTTGGGTAGGTAAATCGGCGTTCAGTTGCACAGAGCCCCTCTGAAAGGGCTCTGGGAGCCATTGTGGTATTTATCCTTTGCTAATGGTTGTGTATCCATCCATTTCTTTTTCCTACGGAGCGTCTATTCGGCCTCGGACGTGACCGGATCACAGGGCAGTGGCCACTGCTGCAGGTTGCAAAAACAAACCTGACCCATTTCTGTCAGCCATGCAGATGGCCTGGACCTCAGCCTTGAGAACCGGGCGGTCGTGGTGGAGTACTATTGGGTAGCATGTTTACTTTGTTTGGATGCAGACGCCACGGAACCAGTGCTTTTTCTTTGTGTCATCGCTTTCTGCATTCTCGGTGATGCGGGGTAAAGAATATCCTAGAATTCCATCATTGCAAGGGCTACAGCCATCGTTTCTCGTCAGAGCCAAGTGGTTTGGGCATAACTTCGCAGCCGATCTCAACCCCTTCGATGTTCGCAGCGTGACGAACGACAGTCATCTCCCCGAACCCCGTGCGTCGGGTTTCGAGGTACTCGGTCGGAACATCTTGGGGGCGAGCATAATCGGGCGATCCTTGAAACCCTGTTTTCCCTTCGTATTGGCCTAACGAGCGCAGGTATTTCATCACCCCCGCTAGCGAGACATCCACCTGCCAGGATCCCCCTTCGGTTGCTTGCTTGTACAACGCGGCCATGGATGCGAGGAAGAAGCCACCTGCATGGTCGAGCGCCTGACAGGGAAGTGCACGTGCGGCTTCTCCAGCACCGAAGTGATGGGCCTCCGAAACGTTTATGCCGGAGCAAGTTTGAACGAGGGAGTCAAAGCCTCGACGCGCTGACCAGGGGCCGTCGGGGCCGTATGCAGACATGTTTGCGTAGATGATACCGCGATTGGGCCGTCTGTTGATGATTGATTCCGGCGAGAGTCCACGGGCAGCTAGACTGCCCGGTCTATACCCCTGGATGAAGACATCTGCATCGTCGAGCAAAGTGAGAAGCTCCTCTGTATCTTGTTCGTCTTGCAGATCGAATTGGACGGTTCTTTTTCCGCAGCCGAACTCCCGATCGAGTCCTGGCAGGTCGGGCAGATGAGGACTCGTCACCCAGAGCACATCGGCCCCGTGTGCGGCCAGCGTCTTCCCACACAATGGGGCCGCAATGACCCGCGAGAGTTCAAGAACACGGAGCCCCCGCAGACATTTATCGGCGTGTGAACCGATCCGGGCGGGAAGACCAGCCGGGGCGTCGCCGATTTTGCGAAGCAGGATGGGAAAGTCCGCGATGGCTTTGGCTTGCGGCAAAACGTCCCATTGTTCGTAACTGCGGAGAGCAGTAATGGCAAGGTTGGTATCAACGGCAGTGGTTTCGAGGTCCACGGAGCGCCATGCCGAAATCTTGGAAGCAACATCGTCTCTGGTTGCGGTTGGAGAGCATCCAAGAAGGGATTTTGTTCCTTCACGGTGGTTGGGGAACGAATCATGAACGCGGACGTAACCGTCAGATGCTCGATGAAGGCCGCCAATGGTTCCCCAAGATGAAGGGGGAGGCTGACCGTTTAAGGTGTAGAGGCGCTCGGACTTGAATTCGATACACGCGTGATCATAGGGGACGGTGACTTTGGGAGGGGTGATGTTATTCCTGAGACTATAGATCTGAGACGCCAAGAGAGCAGAGAGTGCAATTGAGGCTTGAGCGATATGGCCAACTTTGAAGGAGGAGGGCAGGCCGGGATTGGGAACTCCGCTGATGCCGAGAGAGTTGAGGGTATCTGGGGGAAGACGGAGGCCCTGCCAGAGATACGTGATAGTATCGCGAGGCGTAAATGTAGACCTGTCTTTTAAAGACATGGTAAATATTGTATGATGCTAGGTAGTATGCAATGATGGATCTATATGCTGTTGATCCAGAGTAGATGATGATCGGGTGGAGACGGATGGAAGAGTGAGTCACTCGGCAACATGGAAGGCGTCTAGTCAGGAAAAAAAGTCAACTCTCAATCAACTATTAAGGAAAGTCATGGAAATTTCCACTATAGGATATTCTTCATACTCAGAAGATCTATTGTTTTAGTTGATGGGATTCACGGCTGAAGTTTCACGGAAGCATTTGCTCGAATGAGGAGGGATGCAAAAATGTGATCCTATTCACAAGACTATCATAGAGATAACCCCGATAAGAAGTTGCTGCCCCACTGGTATCTCTGGATCAACACTATCGTGATAGTGGCAGGAATGAGGAAGAAGAAGAAGAAAAACAAGAAGATATGGAAGCAATGCGGTGATAAGGCCGGCTTATCAGGCAGGCGTGCGGGGTAGCCTCCATCCAGAGTATACTTACTGCCCATATAATCCATATAATCCATATAATCCATCCAAACTTCAACACATCCATTGTATCCTACATTACTTCATATCCTTATCTCTCCAACATGACAGAAATCATCCTTCACGTCTCCAACTGGGTCAATGGCACCCACACCACCGCGACTACACCCCGTATCCCCGTCATCAACCCGGCAACCGAACTCCCTATCGCAACCATCGACTCAACCTCCAAAGAAACCGTCAACCAAATCATTACCGAATCCCTGAAAACTTTCCAGAATGGTTCCTGGTCTCGCGCTGACCCATCCACACGCTTCACAGTCCTCTCCACCGCAGCCCGACTCCTCCGCTCCCGTCTCCCAGAATTCATCGAGCTCGAAACCCGCCAAACCGGCCGACCAATCCGCGAGATGCGCGCCCAGCTAGCCCGCATCCCTGAATGGCTCGAGTACTTTGCCTCTGTAGTACGCGTGCATGAAGGCCGAGTAACTCCTTTCAAAGGACCAGTCGTGAACACCTTGACGCGACTCCCGCTCGGCGTGGTAGCGCTGATCACACCATACAACCACCCGCTTCTCATCGCCATGAAGAAGATCGGGGCTGCACTAGCAGGCGGGAATGTGGTCATCGTGAAAGCATCGGAGCTGGCGCCGCTCTCGGTGTTAAAATTAGGTGCACTGTTTCAGGAGGCTGGGTTACCTAATGGCGTGTTGCAGATTATCAGTGGATACGGGTACGAGACGGGGAAGTATCTATGTGAGAGCCCGTTGCTGGCGAAAATTGACCTAACCGGGGGACTGGCAACTTATAAGGCTATTGCGCCATCTGCGTCGGCGAATCTCATCCCCATTACGGCTGAATTAGGCGGAAAGGCACCTGTGTGCTTGTTCCCGGGGGTTGGGATTGAGGATGCGGTTAAGGCCGCGCTGTTTGCGAGCTTTATTGCAAGTGGACAGACGTGTGTTACGGGGAGTAGGTTGCTTGTTCATACGGATATCTATGAGGAGTTCACGGCGTTGCTGAAGAGACGGGTTGAAAAGTTACGACTGGGCGATCCATTTGACGACATGACACAGATCGGAACGGTTATATCAAAGACGGCGGTGGAAAGATGCGCTGCGTTTGTGGAGAGAGCTGTGCGGGAGGGTGGAAAGGTCCTCTGCGGTGGACGTGCGACTACCAATCCCTCATCTGGAAAAGGGTACTACTTCGAGCCGACGATCATTGAGACGCGTCCACAGACGGATCTGGAATGTAACGAGGTGTTTGGGCCGGTCATTGCGCTGATCAGGTGCCAGTCGGAGGAGGATATCATTCGCATTGCCAATGCATCTTCGTTGGCGCTGGGGGCTTCAGTATGGACGACTGATTTCTACCAGGCGCATCGAGTGGCGGAGCAGATTGAGGCAGGGATTGTGTGGATTAATGGACATCATTTGAATGATCCGTCGTCGCCGTGGGGTGGTTTCAAGCAGAGTGGAATGGGGAAGGAGAATGGGATGGAGGCGTATGAGAGCTATACAAAGGTTAAGAGTACAGTCATCAATTATGGGGTGCCTCCGGTTTGGTTTGATGATGAGCCTGTGGATGCTCGCTATGGATAGCATAGATGCGTGGATCATAGTGTGCTTTTGATGGATAAAAAGCGGAAATTGGACTACTTTTTTTGTGTCTCACAACTCTTATGGCTCTGGTAGCTCTGGATAATGATGTACCCGTTATTGCATGTTATCTGCAAACTAGGCTAGGCTATGGTCTGTGTAAAGTATACACATGAGTAAACACCGTGCTATTTTCTACTCCGACCCCCGTTATCTTCCTACTCTGCGGTCAGAGAAGCCAGCGCAGAGGGTAGAGCCACCCAGCAGTAAGTTAACCACAGTCATCTAGACAGCGCACAACCATACTCCTAGTCAAGCTTCCACTGCCTCAGCGTCGAATCAGTATGGGCAATGAGCAGGAACGCAGCATTTCTAGAGCAAACCGGTCCTCTAACGCCCGCCGCACCCGGAGGAAACTCATGCATAGCAAGGGACGTGAAATCATAGACCATAGTTGCCACACCACTCCAGTTAAACATGAGCTTTTTCCCACCATCGAAAAACCGTATGTCAGAAGCCAAGTATGGGTCTGCATCACTCTCTTCTCCACGTCGATATGGACGCCACTTCATTCTTTCCAGCCCACTTGTGACATCCCAGAGGATGAATTCACCAAATTGGCCTGCGGTAGCCAAGAGTTTGCCGTTAGGACTCCAATCCATAGACTCGATTGTAAATGCAGGGCACTCCCACTCGGATACCTTTGCCTTAGTTAGCTATATCAAAGATTTTTATCTTCGATGGTCCAGTGCCGTCTATGACTAAGGCGATCTGTTTGGAATTCGGGGAGAATATACCATTCCATGCGCCACCTGTGTGAGAAAGATCAAGGGTGCATTCAAAATTGCCCATGCGGACGGACTGAATTAGAACTGCGTTGTCCCTTCCAATGAATCCTATCAATTTCGAGTTTGGACTTATACCTGCCCACAGAATCCCACCCGAGCGGCTAAGCAAGTGAAACACCGTGGTCTCGACATACCAGACTGTAATCCTTGGAGAACGACATGGCATTATTCTGGTATCGAATGCTTTATCTCGGGTGAAGCACATCAGGAATCTCCCATCCGGACTGAAGAGCGCAGTATTTCCTTCCAGTTTGGTCTAACGCACGCTCTTATGGGTATCCAAAGCTCTGTTCAATGTGTCCTTGATCGCCTGTTGAATTGACAAAATTGCTTCTTCGTTCTGTCTCCACCCATGGGTAAAGATAAGCTTTGTAGTTATCCCTTCAGCTGCTTCAGTCGATAGCTCGGAAATGTCGACTTTTTGACCACCTGAGGGATCCAATATCTTCCCTTCGCTATTGAGATACCAAACCTTAACTTGGTCCGCTGATGAAACAAGAATATATCTTCCAGTTCTTGCCACATTTGGTGCAAAGGAAAGGTGCAAGATGTTCGATGGCTCTCCTTCTGAATTATCGACCAATTGAAAAGTGCTACCCACTCGCGTATAGATGTTGATGCGTTTCTCAAGGGCGATAGCAATCAACTTGTCATCTGAGCTCAGAGCGAGAGCAGTTATTGATCCTGAAACCTTCACCTTAGAACTCTCTTGGCCCATACGGTGAGCAGATGCGGATGGCTCTAGTATTCCTTGATGAGTCTCAAGAGTATTCTCTGAGTCTATATGGGGGACGTCCTGCCCTGAAGCTTTTCTCTTGTTCTGAGACCGAGGCATCTTTTCTTGCGCTAATATTTTAGGGTGAAAGGCAATTTTACCAGATTATGAGCACAGGTTGAAACATTTCCCAGAGGTGATTACCAAGGCGTTGAAGGACCTTTCGCCGATGAAGTGTAATCATAATGATATGTCAGGGAAGTGTGTTATAAACAGAGACAACATAGACGAGAGTGGAGCAGATGTAGCACCAAAATAACCAGATCGTATTCACTGCGGATATCACAGAGGGCTTTGGCTCCGACTTTATGAAAACGGCCGCGTTGTCAAGGCTACTTCCTACATGGATGTGTATTGGTACTAGTCCGGTCGAAATTTACACCTGCCAGTTACTCCTTCAATTAAGTAACATTATTAAAGCTACGTCGATTATTACTCGTGTATACGGAGGCTACCAAGATAAATGTCTTGAAGATAGATACTGCTACGTATCGGATGCCAGAAATGTCATCCCAGGCTCAAGTGCGAAGGGCCTTCCAATTACCCGCAGCCATCTTGGCAGTATCTGCCTGGTTATAAGAAGCAAAGTAAGCTATACCACGTCGTTGATTGAATTGGAACATGAACGGGTGTTAACATTTTATTACATACTTCATGTACATCATATCAAGATTTTGATACCCACAACACGGCTGAAATACCAATAACGGTTGTATCAACTCCAGCTCCTCCAGATGAGGGATGGAGTTAAAGCGCCTAGAGATACCAGTAAGGCTTTCTCCAGGACAGAATATACTTGTGAAGCAAAGAAAAGATCATATATAAGTATCATGTGCAACTACTGAAGGAAGGAATCTGATTGGACTGGAATGTGATCAGAGGCCTATTGAACTTGTATGGTTGTTTTTCATAAGAAGTAAATGTGATAATGGTAGGGCGTGAAAAGTATTAAGCTGCACTAAATATATTAAGGTAGTATGGTGAAAACACACTGCCAGCTATGTACATTACAGAAATGAGGCGCTTTTCAGATAACATTGGAAGACCACGAGACGGATGTTTGCTCTGGTAGCTCAAAAGGGCCTTCCCGAAACCTAGATCTTTGATCTGATTCAACCAGGGCACCTTTTTCCGGGCCCAGTTCATAGAAAGGTCCTCTTTCCGAGCCCATCTCATGTCTTTCTTGGCTGTGTAACTCGTTTACTTGGTTCCATATGCTATCAGGTGCCTCCACAGGCATCAACTGATGCGCTGAGGATTCTTGATCTGTTTGTTCTGCCGCGTGACTTTCGTCTGGAATTAATGCTTTCTTATGTTGTCGTTGGTGATGGATACAGAGCCCAGAGAGAATAGTAATTATCGATAGCCCGCCAATAGTGCTGCCGACAATAATGCCGATTTTGACAGCCGTTGAGAGACCACTTTCGTCAGTACTTGGGCCGCTCATTGATGTACTTGTTGTATTTGCGTTCGTCGTATCTGTATTTGAAGTAGAACCTGCAGGTATCGCCTTCCAGGTGCTCTTCCAGGTGGCTTCCCAACTGTTTGTTGTTGCCGAAATAGTGGAATCATTGTCCCCTATGGACACGGTATCGACAATGAAAGAGCCTCCCGGTCCTGGTGCTTGAGCCAGAAACCATTTTCCACCCAGCCAATTGACTCCTATAAAAGCTGCTTGAAGAAAAGCACGGCCTAGAACAGGAGTGCTATTGGTAGCCATGCACGGGAAATATTGCGTTGGTGTCTTCACGAGCGGTGCCTCTAGTGTGAGATTCAGAAGAGCGAAGGGGACTTTGATCGTGATAAAGTCGTTGTTGAGGTTATCCTTGCTGAATTTGAAACCCAAGTAACCTGGTGAAGTTGCAATTGTATCGTACTGTGGGTCAGATGTGTTCCAAAAATAGAGGCTGTAATCAGGGTGGTATGTGACAGGCAACTCAGCGGCTATCGCATCGCATGAGCTCTGAGGCAGATATATATATGGATTTGCTGGATCCACAATGACGCTGAGACCAGAGTCCAGGGAAGAATTCCCCTGCGCCAAAAGCCCTGTTTTGTTCGTATAATTCCATGGCGACCCACCCTCTGCAACTCCAATAGTTATATCGAGCAGCTCAATTGGGAAACTTCCACTTGAAAAAGCCTGGGAGGACACCTCACCCATCACTCTATTCTGATCGTAGCCCCCTAAAAGAAGCGATCCAGGAATTCCCAGAGATGCGGAGCCAATATGCATACCGTAAGAATAAGATGGTATGTTCAGTGATCCCTCCTGCTCATAAAAGTAGCTGGTGACAAAGGTTGTGTTTATCTTAATCACGTTTCCAAAGGTCTGATTGATCGCTGGGCTTCCAAGTGATAGAATCCCCACCTCCAGTGGGTATGTTTGCCCACCAGGGTAAGTCTGCCAACCCGCATATATTATGATCAGATCAACATCAGGTACAGGGGAGCCGCTGATGGTTATATAGTCCGTTGCTCGTCTTGCTTTTGCGTAAACAGGAACTGCGTCTGTGAAACCCCAATCCACATCACCCCATGTCCCATATGGAGGCATTTCTATCGAATTATTATCCAAGCTGGCTGATATATCGCTGTCAAAGAGGCCAGCTATATTCCCATAACACACGGACGAGAGAGTTTTGTTGTCGCAAATCGAAGATAGTAGGATCTTACTTTCCCAACTACCTCCCGGGTACAAAGCCACTTCCGATGAAGGAACAATGATTTCAGTGTAGTTACTCCCGATTTGCACAGAAACTGCTTGCCAGGGGCCATCGGGTCCAAACTTCTTGTCTGACCAGGGCATCACTCGGGGGCCTGAGCAGAGAACATATTCGAGGCAGAGGGTCCAAAAGGCAAAAAAGCACTGCTGCTGTCGTCGTCGCATCCCTAAGAAGGAAGGCCTGTTAGAAAACCCTAAGGTCGTGCCAAAAACTGACGTGATGTTGAATGGTCTGGCTCGACAGAAATTCAAGAGGAATAAGTAACCTACCGATACCATTCGAAGACTTCTGGTGTAAATTGACTCAAGTAAGCAATCTTGCCGCCGCCGCCAGACTGAGCTGAGGCACCAGACACAGGTGAATTGGGGCTAGAGGTTAGTGGTTGATGTCGCAAATCTTGAGATGAATTATGACAGTAGGTATGGCGTTCTAAATTTGCGCATATCTCACAAGAAAAGGTCAACTTGAATCGTCAAAGCGAATACTTGGACTGGAGATTCAGGTTGGATAACCGTCAACCAACTAGATTAAGTACAGGCCCATCATTCGGATATCTAAGCGCCCCTAATATGCCAGCTGTTATCCATAGCCGCACGAGTCCTTATAGTGAGTGGGGTGGCACAAGAACCCACTGACCAGTGAACAATGGATGTGCATCCGGGTCGAAGGTACTACAGGGACCATCAAGCCAGATGTATGGCTTTCATTCGTGATTAGTTCAATCATATTCCCGAGTCAGGACGAAGTCGCAAGAGCACTATATGATTAATTGCTCACACCTTGAATCGATGGTAAAATGCCTATCGCTTCTACCTTAGCAAGCGTAAAAGTTGACCTTCAGCTCAATGTGCTTGGGGATGATGACAAGGCTGGGAATAAACAAGGACCCTGAACTCTCCCGCAGTACTAGTTGGCTCTATCCAATGCATGTTAGCGCTGTGGTGGGCACGGGCCATCATCCTATTCCAATCAGTAGTTGCGGTGGGTTATAGCGTGCTTCAGATCATGCATGGGCAGCGCCTAGCCGCCCATTCTCAGCCACCCACCGTAGTCTATGCCTAGCCAGCTGAGGGGCTGCCTCAAGGCCTGATGGGATTTAATTTCGTTAAATGCACCTTACCACTCTCCTTTATCTTCTCTAACCATTAAAAGACGAGGCAGAATCCTGGCGTAAGATTTTATGGGTAGCTTGTTCTTTAAGTCTTGCGATCAGCTACTGTAGAAAAAATGTTCACACGAACACCGAAAGTCCTCCGCGCCTTCTTTTTAGTTGCGTCCACTCTTTTGGGATTTGTGACATTATTACGACTTCCGAAGCATCCGAATGCCGCAAGTGGCTCCGATCCTTATTACACAGGCTTGTCTGGCGAGCGCGTTGACTGGTCGCGATTTGCATACACTCAATATGCCACAGACAGGTCCTATCTCTGCAATTCAGTCATGATCTTCGAGGCCCTTCACCGTCTCGGTACCAAAGCCGATCTCGTGCTGATGTATCCCTCCAAGTTTCTTGTGTCTGAGAATGATAGTTCACTTGAAGCACGTTTACTTCGATTTGCAAGAGATAAGTATGACGTGAAGCTTAAGCCAATCGAGGTAATTAAGAAGGGAGGAGCAGGAGGTAAGTCAAATCATTGCGCAGCAAGACTCCAAATTAAGAATGAGCGCAGCACCATGGTCAACGAGCTACACGAAGCTCCTCGCTTTTAATCAAACCGATTACGACAGAGTTCTCAACTTAGACTCTGACGCTACCCTGTTGCAGGTTGGTAGCCCAGTCATGGTGTTTCTCATCTCAACTAACACACATGAAGACTATGGACGAGCTGTTCCTGCTCCCACCGGCTCCGGTCGCCATGCCACTGGCCTACTGGTTCTATCCGAAAGAACGAGTGTTCACATCTGGGCTTATGCTCATCCAACCATCCACGGATGAATTCAATCGCCTACTGGAAGAGATTTGGGACAATCCTTCTGAAGAATATGACATGGAGATTGTGAACAAGCTATACGAAGATGATACCCTCGTTATACCGCATCGCCCTTACATGCTTTTGACGGGAGAATTCCGCGCCAAGAATCATGAGGCATATTTGGGCAATACATATGAATCGTGGGATGCCGAAAAAATTCTAAGAACCGCTAAATATCTCCATTTCTCGGACTGGCCAGTTCCCAAGGTACGTAACAAGAAAATTTGGCACCATATGGACTCCATTGAGACTGTGCTAAGTCTGGCGCTAGCCATGGGTTGCAGCTACTCAACATGTGATCGAGCAAACTCAGCCTCCTTGCGAGGTCAACCCTGCTACTGGTCAGCGAGATGACTGCCATCTTCGAGAGATATGGCTAGGGATGTATAAGGAATTTATGACTAGGCGACAGGTATTTCTAATCAATCCTGGCCCCAACTTAAATCTTATCGAGGATACTAACGCGAACAGAGCATATGTGGCTCTGCTATACAAGATCAGGATGCTCAATAACAGATCGATTTCTCTTTAGACGGCGTTTTATGAAGGGTGTAAATAACATAGAACTAATTCCGAACGCTGGACGTTCTCGCGTACATTCTGTTATAAAAGTATATATTATTTTTATGTTTTCCCTCGCTCTATAAGAAGTTATCAGAGCCAAATTTTTCTAGCTTGTCAAGACATCACACATCCCGTTCGGGTTCTTGTCTCCCAAGACCTTCAAATGATTGGTTTCTTCTCCGCGACTTCCTATGGTGGCATGCGCTCATTTCAATCATCCTATAAGTGGTTATAAGGTCCTAATAAATACCATGTTAAGTAGTGACTGTTGTGCCAGCGTTTTTGGAGCTCGTCCGTTTGACACTCGAACTTGGAGCAGGGCTTGTCTATGACAGTCAAACGGGACAAACTGTAAGAAGCCGGGCATGCTAGAACAAACAATGAACACTTATGCTGTAAAGTGCCGAACGGTCTGGGGTTTTCTGGAAAACTAAGGTGATTTATGACATTCAGCACCTAAGAACGCGCGGTCACATCAGTGGTCGATCCTTGATATCAGTCATGCTGCAATATCGCTCATGGTCCCTCAACGTATCGACGTTCTCGTTATTTAGGAACCAGGAGGCTTTTCACCTCATATATTAGACTCTTATCAAAAAAAGATCGGATCGAAACTCTTCCGTCAACACTTAAAGTGGCACATCGATGCCGTACTTCTCGTAGTCGAAGTGTTCTAGGCTCTTTATACATTCAGCCCAACTGTCACCAATCTCCCCTAGTTGCCAGTCGTCTCCAATATCAATCAACTTCGTCCTGCCAGCCAGAACATCCTCCTGCCTTGCTTGATACTCGCCAGCCACGTCTGGATGTGGTACCCACACTACTCTCATTCCAGCCCGTCTTGCAGCCTCCACCCCAATTACACTATCTTCGAAGACTAAACACTCATTGGGCGAGATTGGGGTTTCACTAGAATCTGCAGCTGAGTTCAACGTCTGTAATGCGATCAAGAAAATGTCAGGAGCCGGCTTCCCTCGACCCTGTCGCAATCGTGGGTCGTCACCTAGAACCTTCCTGTCTGACTGGAAGAAGCCAAGCAGCTGTTCTGTTTCAGGACTCGAAGCTTTTAACTCGTAGCTATGGCTCTTGGTGCTAGATGCCAGTGCCATCTGTATCTTGGCCATCGAAGAAGTACTACGCGCGCGGCTGAGATTTGAAAGAAGTCTCTCTGCCCCAGGAAGCGGCTTGCAATTTGGAAAATGCGCTTGCATTAGCTCAGTCGACTCGCGAGCGAATTGCTCTCGGGGTATAGGCAATTTAGCCCAGTTGTGAAATACATCGCCGTTCGTCGATTTGGGAATGCCCATAAGCTGGGCTCGGATTGACCGTGTAAAGGCAGGTCTCCCATATTTATCAAGGAGCTTATTCGTAGACAGAGTGATTATGTCCTCCGTGTTGATGAGCAGTCCGTCCAGGTCGAAAATGCAGGCGCGAACTGCGGGGAAGCTGGTGGCCGTCTTCGTTAGTATGTAACCTCGAATACCACCATCCAATACATACCTTCTATTGGATGTGAAGGGGAAAGCACTGACTCGGTAGTCAAAGGAGCCATGGACACTAGATGAAAGGCAACTGTGGTCCTGATTGACAGCATCCGGAGCGTGCAAAGGAAGGGGGGATCAGATTATCATTGCGGTTGCATTGAGGGGTTTAGCGTAGCCTGATCGAGTATGGTGCAACATGGTGGCATGGCAGATAATCTACAGTAGGCCAAGTTCTTTACGAACTTGTTAATATGCTCCAGGCTCCAAGCTTTTAAGCTCGAGTAAATTTATAACCAATGGTGTGAAAAATGTTTGTATCGACGGTGCCATTGCAAGTTTAAAGCTATAAGATCACACAATGTAACTAGGATCCTTCCAGCTTTTTGCAGCTGTCACGTTCCTCTTAGCACGGCACCATCTTTTCCAGAATCTCACTAAGCATCTCCTCAGGGCTTGAGAATCCCAAAGGTAGAAGATATAAGCAAACAGAGTTATTGGGATGCACAAGACAAAAAACCACCAAGACTGCACCGAATTCTGCCCAAGAAGATCAATGTTCATGCCCAACAAGCTGGAGCTAAAGCTAAGGGGAATGAAAAGCGTCGCAAGCAGAGTAAGTTTCTTCACCCTCTCAGACTGCTCAATCGCTCTGCGGGATTCATCAATTGTGGCTTTATTCATAGCCAGACTGATACCCTGAGTACACAAATTGGACAACTCCATACAACGGGCATAAAGCTGTTCATAGTCTTCCAGTAGCCCTTCTGTTGTAAAGGTACCATCAGCACTACTGGATCTCACATTCTTGACCATTCCAGTGCCTGAGATCTGCCGGCACGAGCCGATGTCGAGACCCAGAGGCCCAGCATTTTTTGCAATTTGTTTTTCCACTCTGGTTCCATCCAGCCCTTGGCTGCTTCGCTCGGTCAATTTGAAAAGAGCGCGAGTACTGTCCTTCAGCTGTTGGGCATGACGATTAAGGATGTTAGAGAAGTATTGAAGTGTACCCAACGCGTCAGTTGAGAGACCCTCGACTATGGAGTTTACTTGTTTCTGAATTCTGGATTCCATGAGGTTTAGGAACTGAACTTCAGAGAAAGCAGCATGTGCAAACAATGGGATGCACATGGAAAGCGGATCCTGAGGAGCGCGACATGCCAATTCGACTAGGGCGATCAGTGAGTCGTACTGCAAGGGGAGAATGGTTGTGCTTTGCTGAACCTCTGCTGTGACATTCGCATCTGGGTCGAGACGGTTGCTAGTGGTTCGAAATGCCATCTTGGGATGATACTGGAGGATTGGTAAGGCCGTAGCCTTGGATTTCAAATGACTTGACCATGGTCCTGGAGGAGATTCTTCTAAGGGTCTACCATGATCCATCCAGGCAATGACTTATTTCTTGTATCAGCACATATTCTCTTTGTTAGGAAGCATATCATCTCTTACCGGCCCATTCTCTGTCAGTCTTTGTTATGTAGAGTGATATCCATTGTTCAATCACAGAGAAGCGTGGGCATACAGTAGAGTATTCGCGCACCAAAGAGTCACCGCAGCGGACTCTATTAGATCCAAGCTGCTGTAACCTATAACTTCCAAGTTCTGAGCGTTGATATGACCGCTGTGATTGCAGATCCTGTCCGCCGAAATCATCACGATGAAGAATAGTGCTTACACAAAGTCGTATAATGTTATTTGAGGAGCTAACAAGCGATGGAAAGCTGTATGAATGCCTGTCGATGCACATAGAAAGAAAATCCATGTGTCGTTTGAAGAACTCCGGTTCGATGTTGTACTTGCTGCCAATGGCCGACACCCACGATGGTGATATGAAACCTCTAATGAAGACTATTTGCCCCGAACCGCTTGCTGGAACAGGGGTAGCAGCGGAAAAGACTTCGTGTTGCTCTTGGCTATATTGTTGCACATCTCACTGCCTCTCGCCGCTGTTATATACCACAACTAAGTCGTGTGGCTTCTCCGACCAGAATGGGGACGAGATGGCATCTTTCTCTTGCTTTACGGAGTTGAGAAGGTAACGCTCTTGAATCATCCATTCTGCAATGTCCACGTAATTGTTTCCTGGGAAGGCTGAGGTGCTTGAGTATCTTCGTGACAGCGAGATGATTGCTCTAGCGTAGTTATCGGGCGTAACTGTGGACACAAGGATCAGTGGGCCAGATATTCCAGACATAATAGGATAATACCCTTACGTGCGGACTTTGTGTGCTCCATATTCTACCTTATACCAGTAGTGTGCTGATGTCGTCTTTGGTAGTATTGACTTGAACGGTGGATGATACGGAAGAAGTGATGAGGGCAGATGCGAGCACAGCTGCATGTTGCACAACTCAGCCTCTGTATCTTGTAGCGAGCTACCGATTCGTAGGTCTGTATTATGAGACCAATTGCGGCCGCTATAGATGCCGTGCTAATGCATAATACCAAAACGGGACGCGAGGTGGTGATCAGGCACAGCAGATCTCAAGACAAGAATAATATCTATAAGTGAACACAGTTCCTCTAGCCACTCATAAGAATACTCTCCGCGGCGCGGCAATATGCCAGCTTTAATTGGCCTCTTCCCCTTGTGATCTGGGAAAGTGGACAGTCTGTGGGAAACGGAGTGTCGTAACCACCGACATGTCTAGGTTGTTCTTGGAGCAGCGGCAATAATGCAATCATGTAAGTATTGAGAGACTCGTTGCGATTCGCCGATCATTGAGGGTATTGTATCAGGCTTTAGGCGCCGGATGCACTGCCCCATGTATGAGAGAACATGGTGTGGAGCAAAAAGGAAAGAAAGCACCGGTTGGTTGTTGACAACAAACCTAAGATGGAGTCGGCGGCTACAGTTACAATAGTCATAATGTCTGGTAAGGGCACTTGGTCACAAGTGGCTCATTGGACGGTAGGAGTTCAATAACCAGAAATTATTAACTGACAATAATATTGCCCAGGGCTCTCCAACATCCAACTGTCATTTACTTGGCTCCAAGAGCAAGTGGTGAAGCCAAAAAAAATAAGAGCAAAAACATACAACAGAAGGGATTCGCTGGTGGTCACCCACCCAACTACTAACCTCCCGGCGTGTGGCTTAAGTACGGCTGAGCGGACGGGAAGCCCTGTTTTCCACACCCTATGGTCGTATGTACTTGTTTGTTCGTTGCTTTCATCTATATCCTACATGTCACTATTCTTTCTCCACTTACCCCTTCACGCTTTTCCTCCACGGTTCTGTTTATGCCTGCCGTCTGCGCGAGGATTGGTCTGGCCAACAGCATCCGAAAGAATCAAAACAATCAGTACCCACTCCGCCCATTGCTTCTGTGTCTCTCTGCTGTACTCACTCGCACAGTCCAACACCACTTGATTTGCATCTAGCTGTTTGGGACTTTGCGAACTGCAGGCCGCGTGGTGGCTGCAACTATCATAGCCTCCTCCTTGTGGGGCCAAGCTATGTATGACCTTTAACCACCATGAGTCGCTATCTTACCCCTTCCAAGATCGCCCTTCTTTGTCTCATCTCCATCTATACTGAAGGAGTCGTTCCCAACTCCTCCGCCATTCATGTCCTCTCGTACCTGGTAGCCTGTCTCAGCCCCTTGGAAAGAGAACAATCCATTTCCCAAGCGGGAGATCAGGGAACGCAATGCTCCGTCTCCATCACTGACCTGGAGGTTAATCTAACGGGCCACCCGTCCTCCGTCCCAGGCCGTACAATCTGGGATCTTTTTCTGAAAAAGATCTGGTCCCTTGATTGCTGCGATGCGTTGGAAGTCTTCTTCGCTGACATCTCGGCTATTCTAGCCAAAACTCGCGAAGAGCAAATTCGCGATCGAGATGCGGGCCTTGCACCGGAGACGGGCTGCATGCGCCTGTCACGGTGCTCTCCCTTGGGTGCGTTTGTCAGACGTTCTCAGCTAGAGTTCACCAGACTGCAATTCCATGACTCCGTCAAGCTCTGGAGGGGGTTTGTCAAGTATCGACTGCCAACGTACCATGTATGGGCGCGGAAAAATCCGTCTCTCGAACAGGCACCCGTGGATGTCAACCTGCTGAATCTTGGCCTGAATACAACGGACTCCCTTGCGCAGGTCGCCTACGGCAGCATCGAGGATGACTCGGAGGATGAACAGTACGTCAGCACAAAGGATGTCGAACGGCTCCTAGAATTTCAAATAAGCGAGCTACAGAGTAATAAAAACCCCATCTTCATGTCCGCATGATCAATACTGATTGCTGTCTAGGTCTGGGGGGAAGAGTGCCGGATGGCATGAAAGCCCAATTAGAACGTATCATCACTTCGGGTGTGACTGTTCCTAGTCTAATGCACTATCTGAGGTATGCCTTTTGCCAATGTATTCGCAACACCTCGGGATGCTGACTCTCTAGGTTCCTGGATGCCTGGAGGGCAGGAGATTATCCATCCTCCTTTGACAACCTGCACCGTTACTTCGACTGCACGATGCACAGTCGCGATCGAAGCTCCTATCAGTATGCGTTGCTGAATCTAGCTATCCTGCAGGCAGATTTTGGATGCTACAGCGAGGCCGTCTCTGCCATGCAGGAGGCTGTTTCCATTGCTCGAGAATCTCACGATATGAACTGCTTGAATTTCTGTATGAGTTGGCTGTATCACTTCGGTAAGGCTTTTCCAGAGCACATGAGAGACGTTCAAAACACAGGAATGTTGGGCAACGAAAAGGAAGGCCTCGCATTCCTCAAGGCCAAGGCAAAAGAGACAGAGATGTGGAGTCTTCTGAGTACAACGCTATTGAGCGAAGCAAAGCTGGAGATGCGTAATGTAAGTCTCCCTATATCGACGAACCTCATGGATCACTGAAAACTAACATCTTCCAGGGAGAAAGTCTGGCCTCGTCTATCGAGAACATAATTCGAGCCTCACACCTCAACGTTACAAAGAACCTGGCCAACTCGGTAGGCCCGCAGCTTCTGCTACAGACTGCACTTTATTCTAGAATAGGTTCGCATCTGTATTATTCCATTGTGATAATTCTTGCTAAGACCCACTTTGCAGGTATCACACATCTAGCATGGCTGAGCAGCGAGACCTTTCGCGAATGCTACGCAAACAAAGCACCATTCGAAGACCATCTCAAGAGCACGTTCCGTAGCTGTCAATTAGTATGTCAGCAGTCTATTTCAGCGAGTAACATCACTGACCCTCCAAAGCTAGCACAGCAGGGCCGCTACACAGAGGTATCAGCCCGAATGAACCAAATCTCCCCAGAAAAGCTTCGATCTCTTAAAACATATCAATATTGGACGTTCTTCTCCGGTATCCTCCAGCTGCAACGGCAAATATATCGGTAGGTTCCTGGCACTCAAATCCTTGACAACCCACTCACAACATCTAGCGACAACCGAGTTGCAGCCGAACACCTCCTCGCTCAACTGCAAGCCATCCAACTCCCTGACAACGACATTACCCTTCTTCTTTCCATTCTCACGATCGACCTCCGTATTCGCCAAGGCCACTATGGCGGCGCGCTCGAACTAGTTGAGAAAGCCGCGCAGGCTATCCAGCAAGACAACTTTGACATTTTCACGCAAGTCAAGCTCCTCTGTCTCAAGGCTTACATCCTCCAGAAGACGGGCCATCCACAACGCGGCTTCTCTCTTGCCATGAGAGCTGCCAGCATCGCGCACCGCTCGCGTCTCCTTCCCAGCCTCTGGGAATCCATATGTGTGCTGGCAGGCGTCCTTCTCAGCATGCGCGAGTTCGATGGCGTGTCTGAGCTGATTGAGAGCATCATGCCGCAGATACTCGAAACGGGTGACTGTAGCTTAGCCGCACAGGCCTACTCGCTTCTTGTGGACGCGAATATGGGGATCGCGGGCACTCTCTGGAGTGAGGGACAGACGAACTCGGTTCTGAAGAAGGAGCATGTCACTCGCGCTTTGGGATATCTCGACTGTGCATATGAGCAGTATGAGGAGATCGAAGATATCAGGGGGCAATGTGAAATCGTGGCCAAGAAAGCCACTGTTATGCATTTAACGGGCGATCCGGTCCTCGCAAATGATTATGCGGCGAAGTACTTGGACTTGAAGAGACAAGCAAGGATAGATTTGGGGGAGGCTTGACTGAATCACGCACTGATGTCAATGGTGCATTTATGTTATGGCAAGGTGGCAGAGGAAATAACAAAACTACCAACGAAGTCTTTGGCGTCGACCTCTGCGCCTATTTACTCCTGTAATACGGGTAGACGAGATACCCAGAAAAGCCAATACGACCGTTACTGGTCATTAGGAACAATGAGGCAGCACAACAAAAGAAAAATGGCTTAGCAGTATTGTATGGCGCGCTATCTCAACTCCACCAACGAGAGCCTTGACCTCATTATTCTTACTTCCGCGTATTTTGTCAGTAAATATACATGTCTTTTGATTTCCCCTCCCGTCAACAGTCAAGATCAATCAAAGACGCTGTACTCCCATAATCAACGGCGGGCACTTAGGTAGCCTTGTCCTTGTTGTGGTAGTTGACGTCGGAGTTCCAGCTGTGAGTTTGTTAGAAGGCATCGTTATTATTGACTGTCGAGTTATGCCCGACGCTGGAAATTTCGGGTGTAAGGAACTTACAAGATGGTCTGGAGAAAGAAATAAAATCGTCAGCACTCAGATTGGCATTGCATGAGAGTAAAATGTCTGGACGCACCTTGTCACCGTCTCCCCAGGGGAAGTTCTTCACACGGATGTTCTGGTAGGGGTACTCGGTACGCTCCTCGAGCGGGGGCATGTGCGCCCAGTGTTCCCAGTGCTCAGTCCAAAGGTTGTAGGCGTTGATACCTCCGGCAATCAGGACAGGAATGACGGCGCTGCGAAGAAGTAGAATGTTACTAGAAGTCAATTGCGGTAGTAATAGCTAGCCCACATACTAGATGGAGAGCTTGCGCCACAGATCTGGAGCAGTAAGACAGCCATTGAGTTAGCACAACCACATCCTTGCAAGATCACGGCATCAATTGATCTCAATACGCACCACTGGTAGCAGCAGCGTGGTGCTTGACGGCCTCTCTCTCGCGGTTGAATTCGTTGTCGACGGCCCAAGAGGGAAGCTTGGAGTCGGAGCTGTTGAGACGGCGCTGGACGGTGGAGCGAACCGGAGCAGCACGCAGCTGCTGGGCAGCGCGCTGAGACAGACGAAGGGCGTTGCGCTGAGGGAACATGGCTGGAGGTGGATGGGGTGCAGGAGTGACGTTGGAGAGATGGGACGACGTCTTTGACGGTGGGATTATCCCGGACGTCGGCCCTTCCGGCTTAACGAAACAAAAGCCGTTTAGCGTCCCCGTGATTCGCTGGCACTCATTGTGCTTATGTCAGCAGCCGGGTTTAGATCGCGTGATGTCACGGTCACGGGAATGGTTAGCTATGCTCACGTGCCATTTGCACCGCTGGGAAAACAATGTGCCTCAGGCAGAATTTGCCCAGTGAACAAAGGTTGCCTGAGGTATTTATTTTGTTGCTGCCTTCGGCTCAGCGTTGCCTCGTCGCCTCCCTTCCTTTCCTGGTTGCATTGGCGACGTAGATCGCAGCTCTGTAACTACACTACACCTCTGTTGACGTGGATAAATGGTGACAGTATCGTCCTATCTGGGTGGTATCTTCATATGAGTGGTTGAATTATAACTATTAATTGCCGCTGAGTGGGATAATTTGGTAATCCCTGGGCGGACATGTGTGATTGGCATCCATAGTGCCGGAATGGGGTTACGAATTACAACATGGAACGGTATGTTTCTCCGAACATAGCTCTGCGATAAGGATGCTAACGGTCTTCAGTCAATGGGATTCGGTATGTGATGCTACCTAGTGCCTGCTGGGATAGCATTGCTGACTTAATACAGAAATCCGTTCTCTTACGAGCCATGGAGAGGCAAGCGGACCTTCGATGTATGCTTTCCATTATTCCCTCTATAAGCAGAAGACTGACACCAGAAAGGCCATGTTTGACATCCTCGAGGCCGATATCGTCGTCTTCCAGGAAACAAAAATCCAGCGCAAAGACTTGCGCGATGACATGGTCCTAGTGCCTGGTTGGGATTGCTATTTTAGTCTGCCTAGAGTCAAAAAAGGTATGTGCGATATGTCTCTTAATGACTGCTGGACTGACCAACTACCGTAGGTTATTCGGGGGTCGTAATCTACACACGCAATGCCACATGTGCTCCCATTCGCGCCGAGGAAGGTCTTTCGGGGATGCTATGCCCCCCGAACTCGTCGGTCTCTTTTCGGGAACTCCCTGAGAATCAGCAGATCGGTGGTTATCCTACCGTCGAGCAGTTGTCACAGCTTGAAGTTGACGCAGCTACCCTAGACTCTGAGGGACGTTGTGTCATTCTCGAGTTTCCCGCCTTTGTCCTGCTGGGCATCTATTCACCGGCCAATCGGGACGAGAGCCGCGACACTTTTCGCCGCAGTTTCATTGACCTGATGGACGCGCGGATCCGTAATTTAGTAGCTATGGGAAAGAGGGTGTTTGTGACAGGGGACTTAAATATCTCGCGGGGCGAGATCGATGCGGCTCATGCGGGGGAGGCTATCAGAAAAGGAACGTTGACAGAAGACGAGTTCGTGTCCACTCATGCGCGGCGTGTGCTCAATCAGTTGCTATCAGATGGAAAGGTAATTGGGGAGCGCGAAGAAGGAAGGGAACAGCCCGTTCTACATGATATCTGTCGCTCTTTTCACCCGGGCCGTAAGGGAATGTACACCTGCTGGGAGCAGCGCATCAATGCTCGTCCTGGAAATTATGGCTCAAGAATTGACTATGTCTTGTGTAGCTTGGATATGCAAGAGTGGTTCTGCGATTCAAACATACAAGAAGGCCTCATGGTACCATAGTCTTCCCTGACCTAGAAGAAAGCTTGCTAATCATGACTGCACAGGGTTCCGACCATTGTCCAGTGTATGCGATGTTCAAAGAAACCGTTAATATTGGAGGAAAGCAACTTAACATCCGGGACATCATGAACCCACCTGGAGTGTTCGAAAATGGTGAGCGTCGACAGGAGTATATGGCGAAGTATCTATTACCGACTTCGGGCCGCTTGATTCCGGAGTTTGACAAACGAAGGAGCATCAAGGACATGTTCACGCGCAGACCCAGTAACGCCCCGCAGAGCTCGCCAGCTAGCACCCCTACGCTCTCTCGTGCGAATTCGAGTCATGATGATTCGACAGCTGCCATCGAAAAGCCCCCAACGGTAGCAGTCGCCAACCCCGCCATTCCCAAGAACGATCCCCAACCGAAGGGAATTGTCCGTAAACGGTCCGAGAAGAACGACTCCCCTGTTAAACGCCCAAAATCAGTTGCTGGCTTGGCACCTGCGCCAGCGATTGCTGGACAGAAAACGCTGAAGGGCTTCTTCAAGCCGAAGAGTTCTCCAGCCATTCAGAGCCGTGAGCATCCAACGAACGACCTTGGAGTATGTGCCATGCCACTACCTGCATCCCCATCCAAGATTGTTTCCTCGGCAGAGTCAAAAGCACTAGACGAGGAGCAAACTGCGGCGGTCGTGACTACAGGCTCCATAAAGGAGACCAATCCACCGGTGTCGACGACATCAGACACCCCCACAGATGATGACACATTCGTCGACCCAATCGCGAGCAAGGAAGATTGGTCGAAGCTATTTTCCAAAAAGCGCGCCCCCCTTTGCGAGGGCCACCAGGAGCCATGCATTAGTCTGACAACTAAAAAGCCTGGCATCAACTGTGGCCGATCCTTTTGGATTTGTCCTCGGCCTCTTGGACCCAGCGGCAACAAGGAGAAAGGTACGCAATGGCGCTGTCCGACATTTATTTGGGCAAGTGATTGGAATTCTTCGGCATCGTAGGTAGCCACAGCAACGAATGAAACACTGTCGCAGATTATGCTCTATAATATCGTAAGGTAGCCATTGCTGTCGATAGTGACAATGTTCGCCAACACGACGCGCACTTGATGCGACAGACGCCGAACAAGTTACGTTGTCAGAATTTCAGCTTACAGCCTACTCTCTGTTTGTTCCTCAGCTATTATCATACACGCAGTGCACCCATAACTACTGAATGAGTAATGGTAACAAGTCTCGGCTAAGCGTCTGGTGCCTCGTAGCAGCAAGCCTCCCCAACTCATAGGACCCCTTCGTCTACCCACAACTGCAGCAACAGACCCTTTTAGATAAAATTACTGTCTGCTTGCCTGCCCTGTATCAACAAGACAACAAAATACCTCTCGCCTTCAGTCTGTCTAGTGAATATTGCTGCTCCAAACACATTCTGTCCCCTCAAGATAAAGGCCCAGCTCAATTCTCTCATAGTATCGCTTATTAGTGGGTCCAGACATTTCTCGATGAAGTAACACTTCACCAGCCCCCGGCCTCTCTATGTCTCTTCAGCCCGGTAAATTACTAGTCATTTAATAGATATTACAGGTTTATGTCGACTCCTAATTTCTCCAGATGGTGTCACAGAATAGGACTTAGTTGGTGGGTCACAGAAATACAGGGGGTCGGTTTTGTTCTTAGGGCCCATGGCCGTGTTAAATCTGTATTGTAAGTTACGTGCCGGTGTGATTGAGCGTGAGATAGACACTACTTGGACATTATGGGCGCGAGGCCATCGGGGAGTGGTATGTTAGGAAGAGGGGAAAAGAAAGAAAGAAGAAGTCGGTATCTGACAATAATGCCATTCTGTTATGGATAGTGTTGCGATCTCCCATTTGTCATTTTCCGTTCACGAATATCCAATGACCACAGAAGAACCCCAAGAAAAGAGTAGATAGTTATGCCAGAGAAGAGGAGCTGATTACCAGGGGTGAGGCTATATGGATCGCAGGAAACTTATAGTCTGAATGCTTACGCTGAAAGTTGAAACTTATAAGTGAGGGAAAGGGCATGAACCAGCATAATTGAAGTCAATAGGGCTCCTCTATCTCGACAGACCTCGGGTCCATATGGCTTGGAAATTTCGTAGTTCTCAAGATCAGCTATGTATACTTCCCGGTTCTTCGCCGATGCTGATCTGAACCTGTCAGATTGACGATCCCAATCTCTCTGTATCTAGAGAGAAGTAGGCACTCAATAGCAAAGGCATGGCACTTGGGGCCAAGTTGCTAGATCTCATATTCCCATGGTACGCAATTGGCGTATTTTGTTTTTTAAAGATATACATCATCTCCTTGAAACCCATGCAAATTCAGCTGTATACATGGGTCAATGATATCTGTTGGGCTTGATGCTGGCAGTTGGAAGATCCGGCAAATTGTCCATCATCGTTTGCATGGAATATTCGTGGGATCATATTCGACACATTCTTTTCCGACAGTTTGCTTGGTGTTATTTGTGGATATGATGCGCTTCTATGTGCCTTCTGATGATTCTATGGGTCAGGATCCGGGGCTCGACTTTGAGGTTTCCAAGTTCTCTATTTAGCTGGACCCCCAAAATGAATGTTGGGGATTTGTTCTTATATCGGGGGCAATGAATTGTTGCTGGCTCATAATTGGCATACCTATAATTTAGCCCAGAAAATGGGGCGATAACAATTCCTATTTGACAGCAACAATGCTTTTGAGGACACTGCATTACATGCCATACTTACAGCTGGTGCTCTATGGGCAATTGCTGTGATATACTTCATCTGAAATCTGGATATAGCAGTGGAATAGCACAAAGAGGATATAGTACAATTATGGTGATGCACGGACTTAATCAAATTATGTGGGGCCTGATTCGTCTGGCCTATCTATTAGTATGATCCGACTGGTCAGTTCGAAACTCTTTGAAGATTTACAACATGCGCCACCTGATGTCCGTGAAACTTAGTTCGTGAATGGATCATACAGGTAATTTCCGTGAAAGAATACACTCATCGCAGAGACAACTTACCATCTTTGTTATTATCCTGGGACCAGTATCTACATGACGCTAGTTTATGTGTTTAACACTAGGGTTCTCATTGTGTTAAGTACTTCTTTCCCCCTCTATCCAAACGTCTTCAGAGCAGAGGTCCCAGACTCCCTCAATGTCCTCATCATCGGTCTTCTTATTCTGTCTCTAGCTGAGACCTCGAAGTACCTAAGCATTAGCTGGTATTGAGAAAAAGCTCTCTATATACGTTCGATATGGATGCCACCACTTCACCTCTTCAGCGTGCTTTCAACGCATTCCTCCTCACAATGCCCCCCCAGCAACTCGAAGAGCTCCTCAGGTATCTTCAGGACACCCGAGCCAAGGCCAACAACCAGGTCGCGCACGAAAATGAGCAATCTACTGCAAGATCGAAACCCCCTCTGGACACCAATAATGAGTCGGCCGTTCAGGGCAGTACAAACCAACGTTCTCATCAAACGCGAGGCAAGCGACCTCAGGATGGGAAACGGCGGCCACTGAACAGTTTCATTGCTTTCAGAAGTATTCTATACACTTCCATCTCATGCATGTACATCGGCTAACGATTATTAGGTTATTATTCAGTCATGTTTCCAGACCTTACTCAGAAAGCGAAGTCGGGCATCCTTCGCTTCTTGTGGCAGAACGACCCTTTCAAAGCTAAATGGGCCATCGTAGCCAAGGCATACTCCATCATTCGCGATGACCATGATAATGGAGTCTCCCTTGAAACGTTTCTGAAACTCAACGCCAACCTCATTGGCATTATCGAGCCGGACCGCTACCTTGACATAATGGGCTGGGAGCTGAATGTCGACGGCCAGCAGCAGTACACCATGGCTAAGGTTAAGATTACAGCTACTCCTGAAGCTGAGCTCTCAACAAACTATTCAGTCGATGATATTGTCAAAAATTGTTACGATACAGGCTATGTATCCCGAGACAAATGCAAGAAAAAAACAGACCATAACAAAAACGCGCCTGTTATGGCTTTCGCTGCCCAGCCAACCTTGATTATCCACGAAAATAACAGTATTCAAATTAATGGAAATAATACTGTTGTTACTGGTGACTGCGATGGGAATGCTGCTGTAGAAAGCACATTTCCCCAGAACTTCTCACCAAGTCCTGGTGACATGGGAACGATGCTTGCAGAAGCATCGCTTGGTGAATCTGAAGTACTTCACGGCCGTGGTTACCAACTCTATGAGCGGGGGCCTATAGTTGCAAACGAATATGAGATTGACGACGGGATGCTCAATCTTTGGGGTGAAAACCCAGCTATGTTACCATCATATGTTTCAGCCGGCCAATGTACACTTCCCCCGCATGATCCTTGTGTCCCGGATCCGATGGCGAATATCAATATCGACCATTACCTCAACCTATGATTTGCACGCTTTCGATAACGGTTGCGTCTGGTCATCAGTGTTTCCCACGTCCACTATGAGGGTGGCACCATTTTCACTCGCCTTGCTCTGCGAACGTCGACGGAACAAGTTGATTAACTTCCCGATACTCAGCCCACAGATCTATGCCCAAGTGTTATTCTTGAGGTTCCTCCGATATTCAGTACGACACACGAAAAACGATCACGGAAATGTTTTGGACTATCTGGGGCAAATATGGACCTCAACGCTACATTAGCGAACAGCTCAATGGTCCGAAGATATATTTGATGTCGCATCAACCGACTATCAGGGTCCTAGCGACGCTATGAAAATTCATCAGTTTGTCGTCTTTCCACCGCATCCCAGATCGAAGTCCTGAAGAGATAGCCATCTGGACAGTGGTCTCAATCCACACATTTTATGCATGTTAGAATCGAAATTCTCAGAGCACGGTATTATGTTACCGTGATGTTACAAAAGATACCTGTTTATATTTCTATACCCAGACCGTGTCGCTGGGAAATATGGTGGAAAGGGGGAAAACTCTATAATCTGGACGGTACATCATGTTCATGTTAGGAGATAGATACATCAATGCAGAATAAACTTCCACACAGCCACATGATGCAGCCGACAGGGCCTCCAAAACATAGTAGATGAGAGTGCATCCAAGACAGGGGCACCTGGACCAGGTCGATTTAATGAACTCTGTATGCCACCCTCCACGAATGGCATGGACGCGCCGTCCGACATTTAGCTGTTCAGCGTGACGATATCCGACCCTCCGAACTCCTCCGTGTCCGCCCATGAGTCCGACACAGTTATCTCGGTAACTCGCGATGCAGATATAACGTGAACAGGTGACTTTCCATCTCGCTGCACGGTTGCGAGTGACAACAAAGAAACAAGGCGGAGGAGCCACGGGCGAGAAGGCACAACGCGGCGCCACCGGGACGGAATTGGACATGACCCCTCAGTTCGTCTGCCTCCATCGCCAACCAGCCGACTTTCTGCACGCTCGACTGACTTCCTCACGGACAAAGAGGCAAAGTCCCGCCATTGTGACCAACGGATGCGGACCGGAGCAGCAATGGGGCAGTCCGTGTCCACTGTTCAGGTCTAGAGGCGCCGGAAATCCCACTCCTACAGGTTCAGCAATCAGCGACCGGATGAGGATCTGTGGATCCCCAAGTGCTGTTGTTATGCTTCCACCATAGGTTGAGGGTCCCAGAGGCTTGCTGTTTGGATTCCCGGATGGCCACTAGTAGTTGCTAGATGCTGTTTCTTTCCATACCTCTTGGTCCGTGAACTGAACTTGGTCCTGCAAGATCAGCGATCCATACTTCTGCAGTACTTTTGTTTCGAGCCTAACTCGCGTTTTCCGAACGCTTCGTTCAACCTCCTTGCCGGCCACCACTACAGGGGCGCCAGTGGCTGTCTCGGGTTTCCCAACGCCATAGAGCCAGTCGATGTGGCCTGTCTCCTCCATTTCGAGCATGAATCGGTCTAGATATCACGCAAACGCGCGGATTTACTGGCTATGGGAGTGCTGACGTATTGACGTCCGGTACGCTGGTGCCAAAATGCAGAACACCTGTCAACTTAATTGGCTGGAAGTTTTGAATCATCATTCCTATACCATCTTATTGACTTATTGTATTCGAAATAATATCAACATGTCTGGATTTTCATCTGGCCTCGTGATAGCCCCGACGTCTACAGTTCATTATTCGAGCAGACGGTGGACACCATCTAGCTAGCTGGGCAACGTAAGCATCCTCCACATGGTACAGTAGTACGACACGTATCTCGTATCAAGAAGGCATCATTGTCTGGGCATGAACTGATTCCTTGTGAAATCCTTCTTCATTCAGAAATTGACATGTTCTGCGATCGAATTCATATTCAGATCTGCCCTGTTCTTGCACTCCGTGCCAACATCTACTGATTAGTAGTCAATGTAGAAAACATAAATATGGCGTTTACATTGTGAGTACGATCAGAAATTCACGTAAGCACAGATGTAGGTGACGCTAGAGTGGTATAGAAAGTGTAAGCTTTTGCGCCTCTGTCCTTGTACACATCGATTTTACAGTGGATAATGGCGGCTTTTGCTATGTGGTCGAAAATTCCCCATTCTTCGGCGCGTGTCATAACTCGAAGAACTTGAAGAAGCAAAGGATTTATGAGATAGGATAGATCCACAACCCTACGAGTGTTCGAGATGTTTCCGATAGCCCATGCGTGCTCATCAGGCTGCAAAGGAGGTGTGAATATCAATCAACAATGATCTACTTTCCTCACAGTGATTAGTCTCAGACCAGTACGTTAGTATTTGAGTTATAGTATTAAAAATATATGATTCTGAGAATCAATCGTAGTAAGCGACTAGAGATCCATGCAGCTAACTAGGTGCCTTCTGCCATGATCTCAACCATTGCAAAGCTGATATTGCTCTCCCTTGCGTCGAGACCCTAGGCCCCATAGTTATTATGCAGGGAGAAGCTCCTCGTGAGCGATCGATATAGAAGCGATAGAACTTTCCATCACCGAAATAAACAAAAAGCAAGTCAGTCGGGATCATCAGCAGCCGGCCATGTGACCGGGGGAGATGACATTAACTGGGAGTTTCCCGGTCATTGTTTTCCCCCTCAGCTTCCCGTAAACAAACGCGCTGCAACACTTTTTCCTGAAAGACTTCGGCAGCGATACGAGCACAAGATCAAGCTCAACATATACATAGCTTCATCGAAACATCATTACTTGAATCGAACCCCTTGACTATCGGCGGAAGCACTGACAACAAATGGCCCCCGCACTAAAGGCGGGGCACTTCCAGACTCACGAGTCCCCCGCATCCGGCACCATCATCATCCGCGACTCCCTCTATGGTGACCACTCCATTACCGAGCCCATCCTGGTCGACCTGCTCCAGTCGCCCGATCTTCGTCGACTGATTGGCATCTGCCAGCATGGTGTAACCGGACACCTCGGGCTCCTACCCAGGCAAGTTAAGATCACGCGCTTCGAGCATTCCGTCGGGGCATTCCTGCTCGTCCGCATCGCCGGGGGAAGCGTCGAAGAACAGGTAACCGCTCTTCTGCACGACATTAGCCACACCGTACTCAGCCATGTGGTTGACTGGGCGCTTTCAAAACCAGGCGAGGAGAGTTACCACGAAGTCCATAAAGCACGGTATATTCGTACGACGCAGATTCCCAAGATCCTGACCAAACATGGCGTTCCGCAGACTGTCTTGGATGAAGAGCAGTACCCGCTTGTTGAAATGGCGGCACCCCATCTCTGCGCAGACAGACTCGATTACGCCCTGCGGGATATAGTTGCGTTTGGGATACTCCAGCTGAGTGATGCGCACAGGGTCGTCGCAAGTCTGAAAGCTTTCCCTGATGCATTGTCCCCGAATCGAATGCTTGTGCTTGGGGATCCGCAGGCGGCACTAGACCTTGCCCGGGCGTATCTGGTTGCGGATCGGGAGGTGTGGTCTAACCCGACACATGTTGAGATGTACAGAGGGACTGGGCAGTTGATAGGGAATCTTGTTCACGAAGAACGGATCCACGAGAAGGTGTTGTGGAGCACGTCGGATGATCAGTTCTGGCAGTTGTTGAAGGATATTGCGGACCCGGAGGGGTCGGAGATGCTGGAGAGGTTTGAGACTAAAGGACTGGTGGAGGAGGATGGCTTGCGCCTACATAAACATGCCAAGGTTCGTACCATTGATCCTGATGTGTGTGTGTCTGGCACAGAAGCAGTTGCGCTGTCGGTGGTGAATCCGGACTGGGCTGCTGAGCGGGAGGATTATATCCGGAAAAGAGAGGCTACGCGAGAGGTGTAATTGTAACATCACAACTGGATTTATGAGGTAGGTAGATTAATGGAATAATGAGTAACATAGCCATTCTCTACTTACTACTCGCATGACTATCATGCTGTTTACCTCCACTATATGGTAGATATATCTGCCTCAGGCAGCAAACCCCGCTGGCTCTTATCAATCAACCAATTGCGGGCGTCCAAAGTATGACTCCCCCACGAACCCCTCCATGCGTCCCCAAACTAACCTCTAAACTACTAACTTTCTCTAGCCTTCATTTCTTTCAAACTTCTTCTTTATCCACGCCCCTCTCATCCATCCATTGTCTCCATTCCACCCCAAACAATGGCCACCGCATACACCCAAACCGACCTCCAGGGCGCCCTCCCCCTCATTGCGCGTGGCAAAGTGCGCGACCTGTACGAGATCGACGACAAAACCCTCCTCTTCATCGCGACCGACCGCATCTCCGCCTACGATGTGATCATGGAAAATGTATGCCCCATCCCTATACCCCAATTCTCTATTCCTCTACACATACCAACCAATACTAACGAAATAATGACCAGGGCATCCCCAACAAAGGCATCCTCCTCACCCTCTGCACCCGCAAATGGTTCGAAGTGCTCACCACCGCTCTCCCCACCCTCCGCACGCACTTCCTGACCCTCGACCTGCCCCCACAAATCCCCGAGTCTTTGCGCCCGGTCCTCCAGAACCGCAGCATGCAGGTCCGCAAGCTCCGCATCCTGCCCATTGAGGCGATCGTGCGCGGTTACATCACCGGCTCCGCGTGGAAGGAGTACCAGACTCACGGCACAGTGCATGGCCTTCCTGTCAAGGCGGGGTTGAGGGAGAGTGAGGCGTTCCCCGATGGACCGATTTACACCCCTAGTACCAAGGCGGAGTTGGGCGAGCATGATGAGAACATTCATCCGGATAAGGGTATTACTCCTTCCTTCTATTATTATGTTGGGAAGAGAAGAAGAAAAGCTAATTGTTGGTGTAGCCGTTGAAATCATCGGAGAGAAATACGCCGCTACTGTCGCCTCTCTGTCCGTTCAGCTGTACAAGATCGCCCACGAGTATGCGCTCTCCCGCGGTGTCATCATCGCCGATACCAAGTTCGAGTTCGGTGTTGATGAGGAGACGGGCGAGGTGGTGCTTGCTGATGAGGTGCTGACGCCGGATTCGTCGCGGTTCTGGCCCAAGGATACCTATGAGATTGGACGTGGTCAGGCCAGTTTCGACAAGCAGTTCCTCCGCGATTGGTTGGTGAAGGAGGGATTGAAGGGCAAGGAGGGCGTGAGGATGACTGACGAGATTGCGGAGAAGACTAGTGAGAAGTATAAGGAGGCGTGGGAGAAGATCACCGGGGGTAACTAATTGTCAGGTCCTGGTGGACTGCAATTGTATGATTTCTTTCAAAAATGAGGATAGAAAATGGGAAATGGCATACTAGTTAGGCACTAGAAAGGTATATTATTGTTTTGTACAATCTAGATATGGTATCAAGTTAGTTACTTTCCTGCATCCCTACGCCTCCCACTCATCCTTCAACCCCTTCAACCCCTTCGCCTTGGGCTCTCCCTGCGCCGTCTCCTTCACACTCTCCCTCTGACTCTGTCCCTTACCAGCCACCTCACCGGTCCAGCCCGTCTTCACGCCCTCATCAACAGGCAACGCATCCGCCCCACAAATCCTCCTCTCCTCCTCAATCTCCGCCTCACTCATACCATTCGTCGCCCAAATCTTCTGAATCCTCAAATCATACGGCCCCTCCACACGATCCGTCAACCCAATGCCCACACTCTTAATCCTCTGCCGAATGATCGACGTCTGCGGCTCAACCACCATACCGTGATTTGTGCGCACAAACGAGTTGAACGGCAACAGGATCGTCTCCCATCCCGTGCCTCCAGAGGTCGTGGCACTCGAACTACCACTACCCATGACAATGCTCTCGGGCGGGATATCAGACAAAGCAGCGGGGATGCTGCCATTGGGGTACAGCTGGTCCGCTAGATCGGAGGAGTCGGCGTGCGAGGTAGAGAAAGAGGGCTGCACGCGATGATGCCGCGTGTATAGACGGTGTTGGTGGATATCGGTGTCGACAATGGAATCCGTCTGGATGTTGACGGTGTATCGACGGCCGTCGGACTTTACTCGTAGTGCGAGGTACGTGTACGGGTCGACGTCCCAGTAGAGGCGACCGAAGAGCCAGAGGCCGCGGTCGTGGTTGCGGAAGGCGGCGTAGCCTATTGTTAAGAATATCATCAGTTCAAGTTATTCTCAGTATAGAAAAGGAAGAGGGGAGGTATGAACCTGTCCGCTCAACGCGCCAGTTCTTAGGAAGCTTAGTCGAGATACTTCCATGGAATCGAGCATGTGCCGGACTGTTCGTGGCCGCGTCGGCCGGGACGTAGTCGAGACTGGCGGTGCTGTAACCTCCGACGACGCGGTCGGCCATGGTCTTGCAGCCGGCGACGGACGACTCATCTTCGAAGTCGAGGAGGACGTAGGGCTTGGTTGGGGTGTGGAGGGCTTCGCTGTTCCAGGCTGGTCATTGGAAATATTTATCAATCAGTTTATCGATAGCTTGGCTAGTGTATGTGGAGAGGAGCGCACCGATTCGGGACAGACGACCGAATTCCTCGACGCTGCGTTTGAGGAAGCCGGATGGCTTTGCAGCTAGGCATCGGGCCGTGGGAAACATGTTGGCTTGGATAGATAGAAATCAAGCCGATTGGGGGATGTTGGTGCTGGAATGAAATGCCGCGGCGATGCGTCGAGGAGATTCTCGGACCTGCGCATGACGTCGGAATTTCGCTGGCCGTGCATGCCTGAGGCAGAAGAGTATCCGGTCTCGGTGGTTCAAGGGTCTCACCGCTTAGGGGAATCGACAGGCTAGCTGTCTTCGGTGGCTTTGATTCTAAGATGGCAGGCAATAGACTGACTCTAGCAATGCAAACATGAAGGTGAGTATAATAGTTGTATCTGCGGTGTTCTATTATTTTGACATACAGTACTGACTGGTTCTTTTAGGGACTACCTTGAGAGCAGCAAATGTCCCGGGGCGTGGTATTAAAAGACCGGTAAATCTACCTGGGATGGGCTCTAGTCTACAATATAGCCCACTGCATATAGCGAGCAAATTGGCCGCAATATATTTGAGCTATATAGTAAGACTTGGCCTACACATAAATCCTGTGTAGGCACATAGCAACACCTCATAACAGGCGTCGAGTCGCCATTCTCGTTCTGCTGGCAGAATCCGAAGCGGTGAGAGGATCAACAGTCACGATATGCGGGTATCCCTCCAATCATCTGGCGAGCGCATACATCGGTTGTTGGCCAATAAGAAAGAGTGAGCACCAAGTCAAACGACGAGGTGGATATTGTGCATTTCTTTGGAGTCGATCTGAACAGCGAGAAAGCGTCAGAGGTATTACTTGATGGATGTGTGGTTTCGGTATCTCATGGGGCTATCATCAAGGAGGATTACTTTCAACTACAACAGCCTGTTGCTCTCTTGATATACTGGCATCTTCTGGGGGTGATTCAAATATTACCAATGATTTCAATCTGCTGTATTTGGCGAGCCACAAACATGCCAAAACAGCGAGTAAATCGCCAGGGTGCTTCATGTCAAGTATTCATATTATCGCTTGAAGCATATACAGAGACTTACGCCGTTCGACCGCACAGTTGTGTCCAAAGCATTTGACAAGTTGAATTAGTAGCTCCCGTGCTTTTGCGAGGGTCCATAACCTCGTCCTCACATCACAGGCAGGAAGCTGCCTTTTCCATACCGCTGCGAGGAAACGGCACTTCCCTTGACCTTCCCTGTTCTCTTCTCTCCCTCACCACTCTCTCCGTTCTACTCTCATCAGAATACTTTCTATCGCCCTGGCTGTTGTCTAACAATCTATTCTCTGCTTGTTCTGCAATAAGCCAGATATACTCGCCTCTTTATTAATCTTTAACCCATATACTACCTTAATTATTGTAAAAAGGTGTAGTACAACAGTCGTCATGGCTGCCTTGTTCTTCGCCACCCACCCGTCAACTCCCCAGTCTCAGCTGTGGAATCCATCCTTCTCTTCTCCTGGGCATCAGCCACAATCACTTCAGATTACCAGGGAAAACGCCCAGTTCATCCTTCCCACGGATGCCTGCGTACATGTGGGAAAGTAAGAACGACTCTTCATGACGCATCTCTCCCACCACTCCTAGAATCCTAACGCTGTCTAGTCTCTCCAGGGGTGTCTGTCCGGAAATCCTCCGGCACGAACTGGAGCAGCTCCTCTTCCAGTTCGGTACGTGCTGGGCGCAGGTTCGCGAAGGAAAGACTGGTCTTTTTAGCGGTTGGGTGCAGTTCACAGTAATCTACCCTTTGCGCTAGCGACCGTTTTGTACACTCTATAGTATGAGCAGAATTAACCCACTTTGCTTACAGGAAAGGTCCCACGCTCAAGCAGCTATCAGGCAGCACCATAATATTTTCCTCAGAGGTCGTCCTCTGAGAGTACAGGCCGCAAATGGCCTCAGTATGGCTTCCTTGTTGACTCTACAAGTAGTCCCCTGTCTGACAGTATCACAGGAAACCGTGTAGAGCCGGTGGTGCATCGCGAAGAAAGGGCTGGGATAACCACCTCGCCACTTTATATACCCTCTATGGCTATACCATCCTGCCAGCCCATCGCGTATGAGCCTGCTATGATGTATAGCTGGTCACCGGCTCTACCAGTATATGGTAGCCTTTATATACCCCCTCCTCCCCCTCCCCCTCCTGTCTCTGGTACCTTACCTCCCCTATCCTCATGCCCTACTCATCACACATTATCACCACAAGCCCTCAACGCATATACGCCACATTCCTCTTCCTACACTTCTTCCCTATCGAGCAACACCCTTGACACACAGCCTACGACACCCGGCTGCGATGGAGTAGTAGCATGCGAGGCCGATCAAGAAAGGGAGGAGGAGTATATCAAGGACAACCGGTCCAACCTTCCCTGCGACATGCCACTATCTACCGGCCGCACAGTCAGGGACTACGTTAACGAAGTGAAAAGGTTGCGGGGGGTTGACCTCAGCGATGAGACCACCCGTGAACTCATCTTGGAGTTGGAGGAAGAGGCCCGGGATCAAGGCTTGTTGCCTGCGCTGACGTCCAAGCCAGACTGATTGCTAATGGTTGGGATAAGAATACGAGGTATTGTGTATATAATGAGAATAATGAAGATGTTAGTAGTCTTATATCCCCTCTCATCTATTTTGAAACATGTATTGGCTGCATAAACATATATTCCTGCTGCAATAGTACATTGTTATCCTCAATGAAGTGCTGTTGCTGGAAGACGGAGCAGCTAATCGCGGTGTTGAGGGAAGAGATTAAATAAATTCAATAATTTATATACTCGACTCTCACTATACTGTCCATCTGAAAAACTGCGTAAGAGCCTGACCATCACTACTAACTGTTAACTGATTTATATTCTATCTAATTGTGAGGGTAAAAAAAAAAAAAAAAAAAAAAAAAAAAAAAAAAAAAAAAAAAAAAAAAAAAAAAAAAAAAAAAAAAAAAAAAAAAAAAAAAAAAAAAAAAAA